AAAAACAAATTGAAAGACTTAGAAAAAAAAACCTATGGAGGCGAATCAACGACCAAGAGACGACCACTCACATAACAGACCGACGTGTATGTAGCCAAACTTAGTCAGCTGTATTTACAACTGCAAAAACTTTACAGTTTAGGGTATGACACTTGCCTAAGTGACCTGCATCAAGTAAATAATCACAATGGAGGATTAACGCGAGGACAGGAAACGAGTGGAAAAATCGCTCGGGTTCGTAGTGATGACAGGCCGCCCAAGGACACGAGTAGTATTGCATCTTTCCATTTCATGAAACTGTTATGTAGTAGATAAACATATAGATAAACAACAGTGGAAATTCGAAGTTTAAAGCATAGTAATTCTCCACCTGTACGGAAAAACCTTAATGAGGATTCTTCGTGTAACACCGTAATTATTACACTTCATCGGCGTTTGAAAATGCTTTACCTTCTTCAAAAAGCTAAAGCCGAGATGATATGAACTTGGTTCAAACAATCACAAGTATGCTGACAAATGAGCAAAACCCAGACCAACAGTTGGGCTTCGAACCCACGATTTCTATTAGCAAACCCGAACTCGTTGACAGGTGATTGCTCATGGCTAGGTGGAAAACAAAGCAAGGATCTCTGTTGGTATGGTGGATTGCACATGAGCTCCCGTAAAGGGTCAAAACACAGGTTCGAAGCCCGGGCTAAGGTTCCGAGTTCTGCTCATAACTCAGAATCCCTGTGGCTGTATTTCACACATAAATCTGCCATGAAGAAAGAATAGGCGGTAAATAAAAACTGAGACATTAGTTCAAACATTTCGTCAACTTCACGGTAAACTTTTGACTTTTCACTTAGCAACAATGAACATAGAACTCCCAGATAAACCCAGACAGCTTAAAGGTTTCTGATAGTCCATTTCCAACTTTCACGTGCTACATGTTTTGTTTAGCAGCTCTTCAGTAAAGTCTCCTGAATAATCTCCTCAAGGAAAGAATCAGGCGAATCTTAACTCGACTTCTCCTTAGCTTGGTATGGTAAGCCTTTCTCCCAGCATCCACGTTTCTTCTAGGACGACAGCGATTATTGGCATCAGCATAATCCTCGATGGACCTAGGGGATAGATGCTAAACCCTCAGGCGTTGACCAATTCACTCGCTAGACTCCCTAATGAGAACGCAGAACTGCTACTCGGTGTGAATTTTTGGATTTTATCACAGATGTCGCCATCTGTCGTTGTTGAATACCATGGAGAACCATCTAGTCACAACTACCAGAATTACTATTGGATACTTGGATGGCCCATCCTCACTGGTTGTGCGAGCCCCGGCATAATTTCCATTTGACCGGACATTTGCTGGTTTAGCCACTGTGGTTTCCTGAAGTCCCAAGGTCACTCTAGCCAAAGTCTACCTCAGGTCGTCACCACCACAGGCAGTCGCTCTTGTGGAGCAGAGGGAAATCTGCCACCATGCGACTAGTTTGATACCAGGGCAGTTGTGGATCCTGGTACTGATCTACTCTTAGCTGGGCTTCCTGAAGAAAATGCCGGATTCATACCCAGCTTGAGAGACTCTTCCGTGGGGATGAATCGCCCCACTGTACATCGCAGCCCTACACTCGGGAACACCTTCCAGCCAAGATGAGGCCGTAAACCGTTGAGAGGTACTTACCGTAATCGGTAAACTGCAACACTTTAATACTTAGTTATAAAATACTCTTGGAACTCGTTACATTGTAACAAACCCTCCGCACACTTGGAGGACTCAATCATGAAAAAAAACCGGATAACCTACTTGTCAGCTATGCAGTCGCGTAGTTCTATTTACTTTTTATGACATTACATCCTATAAGCAAGAGCGAGTCTTATCATTTTTACATCAGATGCAACCATCTCCGACGAAGTAATGGCTTTCGAGGTAACCTTTCATGGGATGAATGAGTGCGAATCGTACAGATTGCATGAAAGAGACATGACAGGGATGATTACCAGTAATGATCTGAATGAATGGTGAATAACAAGTTGCTCGAGAAAGCATTGAAGCGAAATCAATGCGTACGCGCCCGCAGTCACACCGTCTGTGCCCGCGGCCGGCTGCTTGCCACGATGCGATCGATCCGCCCGCTGTCTTTATGTGCCCGCCTACCGCGTCGGCGCTGCCACGCGACTCCCGGTTCGTTCCTACTCCAGAACTTTTTTGCTGTCCCTTTGATCTGGTCATAGGATTTTCTGTTTACTCTGTAGGGTTAGAAATTTTATTGAATACTACGAAGTATTTGTATTCATACTTTCGACGACCTTCTTAATTGCTATAAGTTTTCTTCTTATATTTTATGCGTTCCAATCGTAGTTTTTCTTGGAATGTTAGAGAATCCTACCGGAGTTCCACGAATATTGAAATACTTAGAAGTGGAGTATGATATCTACCTTCAGGTAAGTCACCGCATGCTACTTCATGTATACTTCATTAGTTGTGCCGGTCGATCTACCCCCTCATTTTGCAGTACACTCTGTGATTCTTTTTTCTATGCATTTTTTTTAGTAACTAAAGTGTTCTTAGTTTCATTTTTCTATTCCCAGTTTTTCGATAGGTTTTCTGTCTCGTGATCGTCCACTATTCGACAATAGAACGAAAGACTGTTCTCAACTTTTGGTAGTCGGTTTCAAAACAGAAGTTTATTTCGTTAACATGTATTATTTCGTTGATAAGCTAACACGAAGTTGATAAGTAACTTTATTTGGTTAACGTTTCGACGTCTTCTTTTCCCCAAAGCCGATAACCGAGCCGATGTTTAAAGTTGTTCGCACTCACACTGTGGTGTGTTCGTCTTCGTATCGGGTCGGACCTTCTTCAGTGGAGCACCGCTTGAACGAGCGACTTCACCTGGGGGAATTTTATTTCGCTACCTTTATACGAGACCATTCTATGGCGTAATCATCGTTCAACGTAAGAATTGCCAATGTAACAGTCATTTACTGGCTAACGATAGATTTCTATGTGTTCGACGCGTAGTACACGATTCTGATATTTTGGTTTGGAATGTAACAGACTTGTGGAACAGTCTTCGTTTAGGTCCAATGCTATGTGTATTCTTTATAGGGCGTTATTTCTACTCAAGGCTTAAATTGGCGCGTAAATTTTCGGAATGCATGGTTTTAATTTGTAAAAACAAGTCCGGCGCTGGCTGAATCGCTGTCCAGTTCGTGTTAAAACCCGACGTAGTTACTGGGGCAGATAAATTTTTCATGCTGTTGGCTTATCTCGTTCTCTCTACAATGCATATCGCAGTATAGAAAACAAGTTGTACAAGATGTACCTGGATGGACATATTTGTTGAAGATCACTTCTTCTGATTTAGAGGAGAGATCGGACTCTGACAGTACATTCCACATAAGGGACAAGCACAGGACCAAAAGATGCTTCATGAGAACCCTAAAGGCGGCTAAGCATACAAACCTATAGTGCACGCCGTTAAGGACATTTCTATAGGTGGAGATATAACTGGATGGACAGTAGTAGAGCTTTTGAAGCATTTCTCGGTCTCCAGAGAAACACTTGGACAGCAGTAAATGGTATGGGAAAGTCTTCTTGGTCGCGAGGTTTCTTGGGAAGAAAACTCATCTGATTGGCATATTCAGCGTAAACAGGAAAAGACAGCTTAAGCAAGTTACCCACTAGTGCCTAAGAAGAGGCATTTGTAACCACAACAGAATCTGTGGGGTTTAATGGTATTGAAATGGAATGTTAAGAATTATTATTATTATTATTATTATTATTATTATTATTATTATTATTATGAGGTCCAAGTGAATAATGCGATGTTTCCTACCAACTCGTTAGTATGGCAGCTTATCGAAACTTGTAGTCAGGGACATCTTTTTTTGGATACAAGGAACAAGATGGGGTTATTCCCCGGAACGCGTTACTCCCCGGAAAGGACAATAGCGCGTTCGTTCCCCACCATAGACACCTGCGGTCCAGAGTTTTGGAAATATCTCAGCAACGTTGTGGTTGTATTCTTTCAGTTATATCTCTGTGTTGGTCATTAACAACTTATAATGGAAATGGAATATGGAGTACGAGCTTTCTCTCATTTTTATGGTCAGTGATCAGTTCCTGGAGAAACCACTCTGACAAATTAAAAACGATAAAACTCCCGGCGCTGATCAATCCCTTAGGGATGCGCCATGCGTTCAACCTTATTAAGCATCGTTTGAGGTGATTAAATGCATATCTGGCCTTTGCAATGACTTGCTGCTATTCTCCCAGACAATAGTTTATAGCTATTTTTTCTTTTGAATCCGAGCTTATTTGAGGCACTTTGTCACTTCGGCTTCTCATTTTTCTCTTAGTAGTGAGTCGTACTAAGTGTAACGTTAACGTTCGTGTAATCGTGTGAGTTCCCTTTTCGTATGATAACAAGCCGTTACTCACTCGAAGGGGCGCGTATAGCGGAGTGGTCGGAGGTGCGTTGCAGTCAGTACACAGGAACCATCCCGGCCCCCCAGGCTCACGAAGCCTTTCATCCATTTGGAGTCGGCGAATTAGTTCCAGATCTTTCTGGGAGGATAGCAGAACTGCTTCGGCACATTGGTGTGCTACCGCGAGTCGTTGTAGGAGCCAGATGTGCATCCAATCGCCTCCAACGGTTCTTAGTGAAGTCGAATGCAGAGCGCATCCATCAAGAATTGGTCAACGCCGAGAGTTTTTTCTACTTATTCGATACCAGCAAAGGCTTGTTTGAATTCCTTCGACGAACCAATGACGCCGTATTAAATTCCGGAGATGGCCGTCAAACTACATAACTAGAATTCTAAAATTCGTATAGAGTTTAGGTATTTCAACTTTGATTTTCAGGATAGGTCTTTCTACTTAACCCACTGCTTGTTTAGACTACTGTTACTTATCTTCTTATAGTAATTTTTGCCTGTTCTTCAGTTAAGTGAATGAGTTCGAATGCGGCCTGTCGAGACCATTGTGTCCCACTGGAGCCAATTTGTTGTAGGGAATGCCAGACCGTGGGCGAGAGCGGGAACGAAAACGGCGGCGACGTCGCTCTTCTGACGAAGATGATAATCTTCTTTCAGGTACACTTGATTATTCGATTTGGTAACTAAAGGTGAATTTCATTCGGTAGTTGTAAAAGATTGATTATCGAAAATTTATAAACATAGACTTTTATCCCGTGGATCCGCTATCATAACTGAAAATTTTGGTTTGAAAACTTCTTCTGGTTAAGATATTTGCCTTCTACCGCTTACTTTTTGAGGATGGAAGCTGGGCCTGGTGATCGGGGTGATCGTTGTCTGTTTCGCCATGCTCTACCCGACCGTTATTCATCCGATGATTATGAGTTTTGTAGGTGTGCTTTTGAAATTTCGTTGAGAATTCCATTGAATAACTTACCTTTTTTTGAGGTAGCCATCTTGTACACGTTTTGTAAACATCTTTATTAACTTATTTTTTGTTTTCGTAAATAAAGAAGTAAAATAGCACCTCGTGTTTGCTGAACAGAAGTAGAAAGAATTATTTTTGTTTGTTTAAATCGTTCAGTGAATCTTATTACCTCGGTATCCATACACTAGGGCGAGGTGAGCCACCGAAACCACCCACACCGTCAAGACCACCGATCCATCCTGGAATGAGAGGTCCAGGAGATTCGAGAACTGGAGGACCTGGAGCGCGACATGACATTCATCCGGCAATGAGGATGGCTGCGCAACAGGTTAGTTACACTTGTGTTTTTGTTGTTTTCATCTCTAATTTGCTTGTGGTCTTGACTATTGTCTTACTTCTGCTCTGTTTGTTCTAAGTTTAGAGATTCCAGAGGCTAGGTTTTTTCTCATGTGATCTGACAAATAGTCACCTACCTTTTGCTTGATAAGTTGATTTATTGATTTTACCGCGGTTGGCTTTTTTGTTTATAAACTAAACCGCCTTTTCTACATCGTTTACGAAAATGTTGACAGATTACCTGTGCATTTTTGTGGTTCTCCCTTTAAATGTAATAACAGTTTCTTGGAAATGGTACCTCCCGTGATCTAGGCTGAAACACAGTCCAGTGGACGAGGAATGTTTGCTTGGATGTTGCCAATTTACACCGCAGGTGTGGTCATCTTCCTCCTCTACACATTGTTCAAAGTAAGATTTTGCTTGCTAGTCGACTTTAGTACTTTGGTACTAACTAGTTTTGTTTATTTCTTAGTCGAAAAGCAAAAGGAAGAGACGGTCTCGCTATGACTCTTCCGAGTTTTCGTCCGATGACCGCGACGAGTACAGTGATCGACTCTCGAGGAGAATTGGTTCGTAAGAAATCCCTTTTAGTCGTACACATATTACTGCTTATAGTTCTGTCCAATCCACTGTTTTAATTTTATAAAATACTGGTCGGGACAAGTCGTTCTAACCCTAGCATTTGTAGAAATTGAGACAGAAATTAGGTGTCAGATCTGATTACGAAAGGTCTTATTGATTCTTAATATGTGTTTCTAGCTATCTAGAGTTTCAGGAAGACGAAAACTTCGTGGATTACAAGAACGGCTACAGCAGACGGAGGAGGCAATGACTAAGATCTTGGAACAGTTGGAAGCCGTTCAGGCGGCCGGAGCACTTATTGAAGGCGAACCGGTTCGTCAGCAGCTTTTTCCAGTTTTTTAAAATAACGATCAGCTATTTGCAAAACTCCGCATGCCTGGCACTGGTAGGTAGGAAATTAGCTGAAAAAAGCGAAACGAAAGACCCGCATGGTGTGGTGGTGGGCGTGTAGCCCCCGAAAAGGATAACAGTGCGTTGTTCCCCACCGTTGACACCTGCGGTCCGGAGTTTTGCAAACATTTCAGCATCGTTCTGGTTGTATTTCGCATGATACCATGCCATGAAAAATAGTAGTGGGCAGTAAATAAAAAGTTAATATTGTAGTCAGCTATTTGTTTATAAGGTAGTGTTTAGATTTTTTCGTGCTTTACACTTTTTTATTTTTATTTGTTAATGCCCACCGCCCACAATAATATTACTTGCCAGCTGAACAAGTTACGAAGTAAAGGCAAACAGAATGACCATATAGTAATAATAAAAGTGGAATGTAAACAAATTGTGTTTATCATTTTGTGGACCACTACGTAATGGTATTATTACTACTAACTAGTTAGTAATTGAAAACAGTGATAAATGACATACTGAAAGGAATTTGTAGCTCATAAATTACGTGGAACAGGAGGAATCGGTATACACTAGAACGAGCACATCCGATTTGACCAAGGACAAAAAACCGCCATTTTTTATTTACTTTAAAAGAAATAAAAATTCTTTTTATTTTTTTTCATTTCATTTGAACCGTCTTCACGTCTACCGTGCGGATCTCAGGACTTTAACATTAGTTTCGTTTCCTCGCATCCATTGTCCACGAAGATCTTCCATTTTTACGTGTGGCTTCGGTTACTGCTTGAGGGTTTTCATTTCATCTTGAACGACGTTGAATGCTGGTCGAGCAGTTTTCTCTGGAGTCCTGAGATAGCCGCACAGGAGCATTCCCAATTGGATTGTAGAGTGATTTTTTTCCCAGACAAGTCCGGTACCCACTTCCCGACCTCGGAGAGATGAGAGGCTTGGTTGGCCTATAGCGGAATCGAACTAGCACTATGCTCGTGATGACGAGCATCACTATCACTGTGCTATCCGCCCCCTCAACAGCTATTATAGATGGCAAATCGTGGAAATATAGAAAAAGCCACAAAGTTTAGGCTCATTGCGAAAATTTTTTTTCTGTTGTTTTCCATCGATTCTAAGTACTACTTGGTAAATTAACAACTTGTTGAGTTACAAACACCAGGCTCCACCACCGTCGTGTTCTCAAACTAGCCATCTGATGGCAAATCTCTCTGATCCACAAGGGCAGCGACTGCTCGTGGTAATAACGACCTGAAACAGACTTTACCTGGACTGACCTCGGGATTCCCGGGAACCACAATGGCTAAATCAGCAAAACTCCGAAAAAGATGGAAATTATGCTGCAACCCGCACAACCAGTGAGGATGGGCCATCCAAGTATTAAGTCATAGTCCGTTTTACACGCCTCAAAATGGTCCCATAGATTTTAGAAAATGTGTAAGTGTTAATGTTAAGGATGAACATTTTAATTAAGAGACCTATGCAGAAGGGATCCGCTTGAAAAGTTTTCTTTTTATTTCGCTTTTGCTGTTTTCTGCCGAAATCTCCGTTCTTTTTTAGTACGAATTCTAAGCTCAGGTCTCCAAAAGTCACGCGGATGACAATGAAGAATCGACGGTATCACCTAAAGTCGATGCTAAGAACGAGCAATACATTAACGATCTTGAAAAGGCATTAAGAGATTTCAAGGTGAGCTTTCAACTTTGCGATATCACAGACCGTGCAGTCATGATGATGTCAAACATATACCTACTACTTTGTGAATAGGTTATGAAGTTTAACATAACGTGTACTTTCGGACATGTTAGTAAAGCTATTTGGCCCCATATAATTTGTTTTCAGGTGTTATCAGAGGCTTACGAAGACGAGAAGGTTATGCGTCGTCGAGATTCTTCGGAGGAAGACGAGACAAGTTCCGGTGAGCTGCACTCGGGAACAGACGAGGAATCGGAAGAACCCGTAGATGAGCCAGAAAGTAAGACCGAAGCTCCCGAAGATGTTATGATAGTTAAATCAGAAGAGTATTCTACGAAAGAGATGAATAATGGCAAGGGAAAACAAATTGACAAAGAATGTCCAAAAATTGCTATGGAAATGGCGAAGATAACAAAGAAGAATGTAAGACGGCGAGCAAAGAAACTCTAGCCAGTCTAGTCAGCGCTTTACCGAACATTTTATCATCTTTACTTAGACTACTTGGGCTACTTAGCCCATTCAAGTCTTTGTTTTCAAGTGAACTTTATATGTTATACCTTAAACCAGCAAAGAAGGTGCTTAAATAACAATTTTTGAAAATGTTTCTGTGTACATAGTGATTTGTTTGCGTATTGTAATCTCATGTCTAAGTCATCTTGAATCTCGCAATATTGTCATGGGCGAGGCAACAGATTCGCCATACAGTTCTTCGGTTTACACTTTAAGTGCCATATTCTTTATTTCGATCGTCGATTTGTTTACCCACTTGTTTTCTCGTTTCTTATGAATGAAATATAAAGGTTTCTGCAAATATGGTTTGTACCATTTTTTTCCCAAAAGCAGTTCGTATATGTTCTATAGGATAGTACTCATCGATCGATGATCCAGAGCGATAGTTTCACCAAAACGATTTTCACAGGTTAAATCACTCGTTAAATACAAATTACATGTAGTGCCACCAATGACGGAATGAGTTGAACGCACAGCACCAAAGTACTCCATTTGTTCCTTCGTGCGACAGATCTGTCCAGAGATTTCGCCCACTGGAGAGACATTGAAAACATAACATTTCTTCTAAGATGCCTTTAGTACTAGTTTTACTGAGGGCGTACTAAGGAATAGTTCGCAGTACTCTATCGTAGTGACTAAATACTCTCAGAGGTTGCTACTTGGACTCTCGCAATAGGTCCCATGTAGTTCTCTGTCAATTGGTTGTTAGTTTCTCAAGACCAACTTTTGCGATGCAAGCCGCACATATATATATATATGTATATATATGTACATATATATATGTATATGTTACACCTGCATCACCTGTCGCCCCATTGACCGTCGAGTGACTCAAGCAGGCGGCCAATGAATCTTCCATTTTTCCCTTACGCATGCCAAGGGAGCCCAGTGAATCCAACTCGATATGGGAACTCAAGCATCATATCCTTCTTCAAGGCTCTTTGTGAAGAACTCTGATCATCAGATCGGTGGTCTTCTTGCTGCGTGTTTGACATCCCGATGAGCCCAGTTATTCACGGCTGCTGTCCATCGGTTGTCATTCCTACGCATTAAGTGTCCGACCCACCTTATCTTCGACAGTTTGACATATTGAACGGCGTTTTCTATTTTTGATCGTTGACGCTGGTCGTTGCTTCGGATCCCTACACTCACTTGTGTGACACGAGATATTTCTAGCATCGTCCTTGCAACCACGTGTTCGTTAACGCTCACTGATCTTTCATCAAGTTCACGCACCGACCAGGTTTCAGATGTATACATTAAGACTAGAAGAATAGCGAAGTCGAAAAGGTGGGCGCGGAGACGGATGTTGTTCTTTCTTGTCACTACATCTTTTATGCTCTTGAAAGCTCCCGAATCGCACACTTCCTCCTACTCAACTCTGGAGCGTTTTGATTTCGTAGACATAGAAAGACGTAACTGGAGCATTCGGAGATATTCGTTCCGTTGAGCGTGAATGGGGCATACGAAACGAATCCGTTCCTCATGAACATGATTTTTCTGATATTTAGTCGAAGACCAATCTCTCCATGGGTTTTATCAAAGTCGTCAAGCATACGTTCCGCTTGGCTAATGTTTGCTGTTATAAGGACGATGTCATCAGCAAAGCGAAGATGGTGTAACTGCCGACCATCGATTTTCACTCCCATATTATCCCATTCCAATGTTTGCATGACCTTTTGAAGGGTGGAGGTAAATAATTTTGTCGAGATGGAATAAACTTAACTAACCCCTCTTTTGACGTCGATGTTAATATGTTTGTCGAATGGTGATATCTTGGTCGTGAAATTTGTATATAGCTCACGAAGAATTTTTACATACTGAGCAGGAGCTACCTGGATATCCAAGGCTTCCACAACTGCTTGTATCTCATCTGAGTCAAAAGCTCTCTTCAAATCGATGAGAGTAAGACAAAGCGATCTCTTGTACTCCCACGATGCCTTCGTGAGTAACTCCCACGACCCTATTAACCTATTAACCTCGGCATTGATCAAATAGTCCTTGATGTTCTCGTTGTTGAGAAGAAGGCAATACTGCCGCAACGTCAGGTTTAACGGAATAAAGAATAAAGTAACACTTCGTGTTTGCTCAACAGCAATATCGAGAACTTTAACGAGTCTTATTACCATATGGATGTGGTACATCGTACTGAATCCTTTTCGAAACCCTGCTTGCTTACACGGTTGTCTTCTTCCAAGGTTCTGTCAGTCGTGTTTAGGATGACTTGACTTAAGAATTTGTAGACAACAAACAACGATCAGACTGGGCGATAGTTGCCAAAATCTTGTGGGTCACCGTCGCTCAACATCATCACAGCGCTTTCTGATTTTCCGCTAAATAAGCACCTTCCATTCAGACAGATAACGTGTGAAGAGCCGAGCCAATGTGTTTACGAAGACTAGCAGAAGGTTCTTCAGGTATTCAGATCTCATCCTCTCCGGACCTGGTGTTCGATTGTTCACAGACCGAATAGCATGGATTTCGGAAGGGAGAACCTGTGACGCCACGCCTCCTTTATTTCCTATGCGAGCAGGAGGATGTGGCTGTTGAAGAGATCCGAGTAGTAAGTGGAATGATTTTTTCCATTGCTTTTCTGGACGCTATAACTGTTCCGTCTGGGCGTTGGAGTGCAATCGACATGTTTTTAAATTGTTGAGCTTACACGAGGTTGGTAAAGATATTTTTTTCCGCTAGCTCGACATCTTCGCCTTCATCAGAGCCGGTGACCTGAGTCAATGGTCCACAGTTGTTCGTGTTTTCGATGTGGCGTCTTCGTAGTCGTATTGAGACGGGTCTTCTTCAAGTGGAACACCGCACGAATGAGGCATGCTCACCCAGCAGTGCTCCTTTATACATGGCGGCTGCTGTCGACATGACTATCCGTTGATAATATTACTTTAATACCTTTCACTACCGAGGTTAAATGACAGTTGGCTTTAAAATTGCAGTCATCATGGTTTGGTTATGTTCGGTGGGCTTTGCGAATGCTTATACCTGCATCTGCAGCTTTAACCATAGCTGTTGATCTTCTCTATTCAAGACCTTTTATCGCCTCTCTGTAGTGTTAGGTGAGTCGGCGGCTTCCTGTAGCTCTTGCGATTCCATGTTGCCGTATCAGCTCGTGTTTCTGGAGACGAGTGACTAACCAATATCAATCTGCAAGGTATAGCGGAAACAGGTGGCCATCTGCTTTGAAAGAAGTGCATTTTCGCCTTATGTTTGAACTCAACACTGCCACCCGCATGAGGATACACCACATAACGTCCTAACTATTCAACTGGAGATCACATAATGACAAAGATTCGTGTAGGTAACTGAGGGATGTGGTGTGAACATGGTATATATCGAATACTGTGCAGCGGACAGCTGAGGAGGTTGTACCCCTAAAATCCTAAACCATAATAACTTTAAACTATATGACGTTTGAGCCCATATTCAAAACCATAGAAGATATTTTGCTGTTGAATATTGTGCAACATGACCATTTCTCCCAATATATGTGAGGTTTGTTAGAAAACCCACATAGGCAGGGAACGTGTTGAGAAATGAATAAACAGTAAAATGTAAATCTGAAAACATAATCTAACTAGTATACGTAGGTAGATCGTCAAGTATATTAAAACGCAGTTTGTTTGCCCACTAGAGTCTTTCACATGTGAATCTGAGCGAGTCGTTAGCTACAGTAAGTGGCCAATCCACTCGTTGTAGATAAAACATTTAACGCAGAGTTGGCAATATACAAGCTCTGAGAGGAAACTTTGATTCATTGTACGTGCTATCTCCCTCTACTGTGCTGCACTCACAAAGTTTTCTGTATGCTTGTCGACACTTTATATAACTAGTGCGTCTATGTACTGAATTCTTGTAGCTACACTCTGAATGTGCCAAGTAAATCAGTACTAATGGCATGGTTCAGTGAGCTACACGTGTAACCGTACTGTTCGTCCCTTCAACTGACCGAAGGTTACTGAATAGTTCCTCTTCGCAACACGAACAAATGGGCAGTTTGCTAGGGTGCCTGCTAAAATCAACCGATGGTCAACAGGATTATAAATGATTACAAGTTGTCGAACTGTGTCAATCCCCAAATACATTTTGAAGTGTTTATAATTCTGTTTATTAACAATCGTAGTACAATTCAAGCATCATTCGGCAGTTTCAATAAACATTCGCAAAAATATGGAACAACAATAGAACATTATTGAGCAAGTCGTACTATGACTTGTACTATATAAAATCTAATATGGCGACCATATCTCAATGATATAAATAGAATAGATAAAATAAGATCCTTGAGTTGGAGAGCTCAGTACAGAACAGCTAGTATGTAAAAAAAGACAAGTGCTTAGTAAATCTACTAAAAATACAGGAACAGCAACAGTTGGGAGGAAATTATCTGAATCCCACGGAGATCAAATGAGCTCGTATTAAACCGGTGACTATTTAAAGTCGATTCTTAAGTCGACAGGCGAAAACATTTTTCTGAGATAACCGTTAGAAGATTAGGGATTATTCATGAGGGCCTTATTTTTCCTGGCAAAGGCAGAAAACTGGGAAATAAAATGATGGTTCACGATGTGGTCAAAACTCTCACTCATACAGCCAAACCCTGCTTAGGTGGAGTCATATGCTGGCAAGGATTTGGAGGCGCAGATCCTGAAGGGATATTTGGAAAAGACGGAGGATAGTTCGAAGGGGCTCCACTCTGCCATCTCATAAGGTCGTTGGGACCACCTCTCACAAAACCTTAAAAAATAGTTTCTCATAATAATAATTGGTTCGGTTTCATTTTCTTCTCGCGAATTTTGCGGACTATGACATCCATTTCCATAAACACAAATTTTATAGCCTTGCAACCTTTGCATATGCCGAGGAGCAAGGAGTGTATTCAGGTAGTGCTTTGTCCTAACCACAGTCTCTGTTCTAACTCAGTAAACTATCACCGAAAGGATAAAATAGAACGTTGAAAAAATAATACGCAGGTGTCTGCGGTGTGGAAAGAACGCGCTATTGTCCTTTCCGAGGAGTAACGCGTTCACCACCATACCATGCGGGTTTTTCGTTTCGCCTCTCTCTCAGCTAGTTCTATTGATCGGCGACAGTTTTGCAAATATCTCAGCATCGTCTTAGTTGTATTTCACATGATACCCTGCCGTTAAAAAATAGAGTAGGCAGTAAATAAAAAGGTTAAGATTGTGATTTCGACTTCAGCCTCAGCTTAACTAGGTTCAATGCCGATTTGGGCCTCCCAGATCAATCCCGTTGACGGATGATTGCTGATGGCGCCGATCAATAGAACTAGCTGAGAGACAGGCGAAACGAAGAACCCGCATGGTGTGGTGGTGAACGCGTTACTCACCGGAAAGGACAATAGCGCGTTCGTTCCCCACCGCAGACACCTGCGGTCCGGAGTTTTGCAAATTACTCAGCATCGTCTTAGTTGTATTTCACTATGATTTTCTCAACTGTTTGTAGCAGAAAAAAAAACGTTCAGAAAATAACCCACTCAGAAAACATCTCTGATTCTATAACTACTTTGAAAAAAGGTAACAGCACTATGGTGGGCTACGCAACAGGACAAATGTTACGACGGCAGCCATGAGTTATTAGGAAGATACATTGCAGACCTACTGTACAAATCAATGACGAGTAAAGAACTGAGAATTCACTATCATCTCCACTTACCTGGATTAGGTGGCATTCCTTGTCCACCAGGAACTGCTCCAGGAAAAGGATAAGGTGGTGGAAGTACCATTCCCTTAAAAAAAAATTACATAAGCCAACAACAGAGTCTCTACACGTAATAATGAGTATGATGGAAGGATTTCTTTACCACAAAAATTCATACGAATAATAAAATTTCCACACCTTGGCCATGCTAGGGGTTCCGTATGGCATTTGGGCATAAGGATGCCCAGGGTAAGGACCTGAATGGAATGGACTAACAGCAGGCGATTGCCCTGGAAGCGGAAACGCTGTTCGTGCTGGATCCTCCGAGTATCCTGGGACGGCGACAGGTGATGGCATACCAGCCGGAGCTAAAATTATCTTATGTTCGATTGGAACTGTATTTAGTGAATATCATTGAATTCATGTCTTCAAACACACATGTTGGCTTAAATTACCACAAATAAGAGTTTTATTTAAGATGTCTGACATGTGAGTAGTACGTATGAGATGTAGAGAAATTATAAATGTTAGAAAACTTACCAGGTAGCTAGACTACTGCTGGTAGTTATGTGATAATGAAATATATATTGTATCAATGGTCCTTCAATTGTACAGATTACTGCAATTCTAACCCACCTCTAGCTGCCATCATATGGGCATACATCGGATGATGTGGACTCATTCCAGGTGGGGGTGGCAGAGACCCTTTGAACGCCATTGGTTCACCAATGTACGCCGGAGATGCTATTTGAGATTTTCCATGTGCTGACATTGGAAACCCTAAAAGCTAAAAAGATTTTTAAAAAAGCGTTGTAGAAATTGCTGAACGTAAATTGAACAACCCGATGGATAAGTAGATGTCGAGTTATAATACGCTGATGGATAGACTCCTGAAGGCATATTTCCCATCGTGTACGGAGCTGAACTACCCGGATATCGCCCTACAAACTGGGCTGGTGGATACATAGCTCCTTGAGGACCTGGATTACGAAAACAACCTCATTTTCCCATCACACAAAAAAAGAAACAAGATTTTTAGAACGCACCCGACACTTGTGGATACATAGAAGAATGCGGCGAAAGTCCCTGACTATGCATGAGCTTCTTCATCTTGAAAAAAAAGGAAGCATGAAAATTTTGGCTCGTAAGCAGCTAATTTCATGTACAAATCAAACCTCGTGAGCCTGTACTTCCTTTTCCCACTCAACCCGCAACCTTTCAGCTTCTACTTGTCGTTCCATTTCACCTAACTTTTCCAGTTTTGCCAACCTTTCATCCCTAAATATGACAGGCATTTTTCCTTAACAGAAAGACATTCACATCAACATACTTTTTACATAATCCATTTGTTGGCGCCTCAACGACATCGTTAATGCTAGAAGACGTGCTGAATGCTGACGAATTTGTCATCATTTCCATTTTTCTTAAACATGAGTAACATTGATCCATTTCCAGGTGAACACGTTAGCCTTAATTGTAAACCTTAGCGGAGTTTCCTCAAGCCTTTGTGAAAAGCTTCCTTGCGCACTGAGATCCATATAAGTGGGTTTTTTGGCGTCGTTTTCGTCAGATTCACTCTGGAATATGCTCGAAATAAACATATGCAGAAGTAAGACATCGGGAATTTTGCGTTCCTTCATTATTGATGGAAGGATAACGCTATGTCACCAGCAAGATCGCTCGTTAGACTCGTCTACACGAGTTAGCAAAGCACATATGGCCCACGGTTCTAGCCTGTCCCTGTCTCAACACTAACCCTCTTCGAAGTTGTAAAATTGATATCAGACTCGTCCGAAAACTAATGTGCATTTACCCGGATGGTGTAGTGGTGAAGTGCGCTGCTCCCCGGTAAGAACAACAGCGCGTGTTCATTGCCCACTGCATACACTTGCGGTCCGGAGTTTTGCAAATATCTCAGCATTTCAAGTAAAAGGTAGGCCACCGTGAGTCATTGTAAAAGCCAAGTATGGATTCAATCGCCTCCAACGATGCTTAATGAAGTCGAATGCACAGGGCATTGCTCAGGGATTGATCAACCCCGAGAGCATTATCTTTTTTTCTTGAACCAACGCATTTCTGGGCACACAGATACATACATACATACATACATACACACACATACACATGCCCGCAGCAAGCACGCACACAAGCAAACAAACAAATTAAACTTTTCCACCACACATCACATCAATAATGTTTTGATAGTTATGGAAATATGTAAAAATCATTTAAAAAACCCTGTTCATTCAGTTTCTAATTTTAATTCTAGAGAATGAATTCCACGAATAATTCATAGTTGACATAGCTAACAAGACAAACGTCTAAATTATGAGGAAAAATAAAATGAAATGAATAGAACCAACCTTCGCCTTTCTCTTTTCTGCTTTCATTTCAGGATCACTACTGACGGATTCTGCTGACAGTGAGCTATCGGCTTTCTCTGTGGATGCATCATCCGAAATAAGCTGCGCCTCCTTACGCTTGCGGAACTTCATGTGCCATTCCAGGAGGCTGTCGAAGCGTTCCTTTTCGAAATCAAGTGCCGCTTGATTTGCCAGCTCCGTCCTGCAAAACGAATTTGAGGTGTATGATGATCACATTAGTGCCTCAGCTCAGTCTCATTTAACGACAACATGTGACGCACGTAAAAAAGACGAAATCCTTGCCAGCGGTTTCTGATGGTGACGTTGCTTCTTGAGAAGACGGTACCGATCGGCCCAAAGCCGGTGATGGATGACATGGAGAGTTTAGCTTAACAAGAAATCGAATTTCTATGACCTCAAATTGTGTTAAATTCCTTCAAACAAATGAACGAAATCCAAAGATACTCTGGAAATCGACACTGGAGAAGAAAAACCGTATAAAAAAAGGATAAAGTTCTTGGTGTTGATCAATCCCTTAGGGATGCGCCATGCATTCGACTTCATACAAGCATTGTTGGAGGCGGTTCAATACATATCTGGCCTCTTTACAACGACTCGCGGTAACCTACCGATGTATCGAGCGGGTGTCGTTATCCTTCCAGACAAGTCTGGTACTAATTTGCCGACCCCGTAAGGATGGAAGGCTTGGTGAGCCTGGTGAACTGGGATAGATCCCATGTGTATTGTAGAGTGCTCTCAGCCACTGCGTTACATCCGCCCAAAAAACCCTATGGAGGGACTTATTCTTAAGAAAGACAAAATCTCCAAAATAGTACGTTAAACTAATTTCATAACTATTTAATAATCACTAACATAAGACTCTACCTATATAAGAATATTAACATCTAAAGGCTAACAATAGCCATTAATTTTCAACAGTTAAGAAAACTTACTGGTAATGTCGCTTCGTTCGCTGTACTAGTTGAAGGTTGCGGTTCGCATTTTACATTTACATACGGCTTTGGCGAAAGGCTTGACATAGTCGTAAGGATGATGTCATGTAAAACTTCCGATCATTCGAACAGAATCAAGTCCATTTTCATGAGATCTGCATATAGAGATCTATCTGAAACAGAACACCATGCTTCAAAACAGCATTGATAATGGATCTACGGTTAGACTATAGAGTCAGCTACTATTTAGAGACAACTAAGCAGGTTCGAATGCATGAGAACATCTCAAACACAATTTTCTTCCACGATCTGAACTGTTAAATACAATTTTTTACTATGGAAAAAGTATAAGGAGACCACGTAGCTCTGTGATTTAAAGATCTAGTAAGAACTACAGGGCACGTGTGGCGCAGTGATTGGAGGCGCCATTGCGACACACCTGGAATTGATCCCCGCGTCCATGGCCCACCAACCCCTCCATTCCCCGAGATCGGCAAATTGGTACCGGACTTGTCTGGGAGGATAGCTGAACTGGCTCGATACATCGATAGGACACCGGGAGTCATTTTAAAGGCAGATATGCATTCAGTCACCACCAATGATACTTAGTGAAGTTGAATGCATTGCGCAACCCTTATGGATTGATCAATGCTGAGAGCTTTACCTTTTATCTTTTAATAAGAACTACACGGGGTCACTAGATGATTTACGATATGGACATCAAATATGAATAATAGTAACTAATAGACACGATCAATAGCTCTATTTCAGAAACCGAGTTTCCCTTAAGCTCGGTAAAGCGTCGAGATCCTACCCGAATAGGGTTACTTACTGACCTCGTGTTAGCTTATCAATGCAAGAATACAAGCTTAATAGGATTCTGTAAATCAGATACACTGCCTCTTGTAGCACTAGGAAATGTCATAAAGTTGTAAAGAGAAGTACACTGAGTGGTTAGCAGGGAATCCCGTGAAAAATCACCCCAATCCGAGCAATGTGGAAAGCCCACGTACAATTAAAACTAAGCCTTGAACACCTAGAATGTCTAATGCAAACGAGGAATCCGTAAAAATGATTGGTAGTGCCATCTCGGAAGTGGAGAGAGCGCTCGATCAGCCAAGTGCTTACATTATTACAACAAAGTTCGCAAGGATGCACTGTGCTTTATGACTTGCTAGCAATCGCTCGCTGATAAAGTAAAAGAAGAGCTGCCACGACCCAAAACACCAAAACTGAGCGCTGTTAACTGAAAAATCAGAAAACATTTACAATTTGTTATTTTAGCAAGCTATGAAAAATAAAAGTGGCGCAGTGGTCAAAAGCACCCTGCAATACACATAGGATCAATCCAATGCCCGTGGCTCACCAAGCTCTGCATTCCTCCGGGGTTGACAAATTGGTACCAGAGTCGTCTGGGAGTATATCCGCACTGGCTCGATACATCGATAGGCCACTGCGAGTCATTGTAAAAGCCAGATATGTATCCAATCACCTCCAACGATGCTTAATGGTGTCGAATTATATGGCGCATCTCTCACGGATCGATCAACGCCTAGAGCTTTATCCTTTATGGAAAATAGCCAATTACTATATTATGGCCCAAGATGGGTGATAAAGGCACCAAAAATCGGCCAAATCTCCGAAATCTACTCAGTTCGTTGATATATAATCTTTCCAAGCCCTTAAAGAAAACGAATAACAAGCAAGAAATGAACAATAACTGAAATGTGGAGAGATCGAAAAATAAGAAATGTAAGCAAAACAGCAAAGGCTTTCATTAGCAACAAAAATTGTGAAATTTCCGAGAGAATTCGTATCCTCAAATGGTTTTTTATTTCAGCACTCTGGTCATAATGTACATAGATCGTAGAATAGGAGTGGTTCATAAAGGCATTTCTCGACCACGGGGTAGGAATTAAGGACGGCTGTTAAGCATTTTAAGTTCCAAAGATTCAAAAAGACACAAACAGAAGCCAATGCAACCTACAGACGAAGCATTGGAAAACCTTTTGAAAAAGATAGACGAAGCAGAGAAACAGGAGATAGGTGAAGGAGATCGATTACCAGAAATCCTAAAAGTTATGTATAGAAATTCACAGGAAAACGATGCAGAAGCGGGTCCGAGACAGAACTGCTGAATTACGGTGATATCACTGGAATGAAGTGTGTGTTTAAACAGCAACTAAGAGAAGACAATGAATGAATGATCCTGATAAAACATAGCCGTCATAGGCTGACAAACCATCGAAATAAAAGATGAAATGAGAACACGACATCAGAGGAGCCGAAGCGCTCGCTCTATCGACAGCAAGGAAAAAAACGTTTTCGAATATAACGCGGAAAACTACATGAGAAAAAAAGAAGAGGAGGAAAAAGAAGAAACTCAACCGGAGAAAACTACGGCGATCGCCGCAAAAGATATAAGCGGGAAATTTGCGAATGAAGAACATACGGATGAGAGATCTGCGCAGAACGAATACGGGAAATGAATGCAAATGAATGAAATCGATAGCGCCCTTTTTCTGGATTCAAGCTGTAGGGGGTAAAAATATACAATACTGTCAAATCCTACAGGCCAATAAAGAAGCTGTGAGTGACATGCGTACATACATATGTGTACCCTTGTGTATACAGGGGTTTATTTGGAAAGATGCAAGTGCCCAAATTAACTTAGAGCAGCCCAATTCTTCACCGTACGTAATGACTCGTGACCCAAACACCGAAACAAGTGAGTGTGGGCAGTAGTTGGCTATGGTTTAGCTACGGCAAGGGCACAAACGGCCTTCGAGGGAGGACACCCGAACCACAAGAGAGACGACTGAAAAGATAAGTCAGTGTTGTGAAGAGAAACGCTCTTGATGAACAACAGCAAAACATTCGAAGAGCTATCACACAGAGAAACATCCTTGCAAAAAAATCTACTCAGATAGATAATCTAAACCAATAGATATGCTAAAAGTACAAAGTACACAAAAGTGAAAAAAAAAGTATAAAAGTAAGCTTGTATGCAATAAAGATACGAGGAAAAATGTCTGTAGGAATTCAACTGCAAGCAAGCAGAGGAGAACGAGTAATAGACCACCACTAATAAGACTTTATTTTAAAAAAAACTGTGTCCATACATCATTCCAGAGCACTCACGACCCTTTACTTGTAAAAACGCTCACCTTAGGAATGTAAAACAAAAAGGATTTTAACAAAGATCTTACAGAACATTTAGTAACTACCAAGCTATGACTCTCGTACGGCATCGTACAAAAGTTGGGCAACATCGCACACGAGCTTGTCTTGAAGGAGATTCCCAATCAACTGAACTCCAATAGGAAGATTATCAGATGTCTTTCCAAATGGAACAGAGATAGCGGGCAGTCCTATAAGAAAGAATTCAATGTGAGCATTACAGAAAAAGAAAATGAAGTAGAGATCGCATAGTCATGCCATCAGAACTTTTTCAGGCTAAACATGTGTAAAACTTCAAGCGTTTTCATGAACAGCTGCTTCAAGAAACTACGAAAGAGTTAGTGTCAATGGAAGGAGAAATGAAAGCTTACTAGCGACTCACCATGACTTATACTTTATAAGTAGACATTACCTGCAAGATTGGCCGGTTGCGTATAGAAATCATCCTGATTCTCTCGCTCATAATGACTCCTTCGCAATTCCGAGAATCGAGTAGGAGGTCCCCTGGCTGTAGGCGTCAACAACATGTCTACCGATTTCAGCACCTCAAGAATCTCCGAGGCGATGATCCTCCGGACTCGTAGTGAGCAATCAAAGAACTCATGTCGATTCCTATACAGAACAGATCCAAACTTCAGAATAAAAAGAAATGGGCTTCACATGATTTATCACCACACATACCACCACAAATTCTCTGAAATACTGAAACAGCCGTGAAAGTACATCCCCCAGTCCTTACCAAAGGCAGCTGCAAACCATCGCCAATCAAAGACAGTTCTACCCTTCTTCCTAACCGTCGTTGACTTTTCTGTTTTCCTAATGTAAACAAGTAACCTCATTTCAGGATGGATGACCCTATCGCTAAATGATACTAAGTTCTGGCTATGCAGTGCAGTCCGACACCAAGGTATACTCCCTTCACTATGAGGTAGAATATTAAAAAGGTGTTGCTTTTATAAGCAACGAGAGGTTCACTAAAGAATACTAACATATTTGGCAGAGCGACTCATGGATCTCACGATGGTTACGACAGAGGTCGAGTGCTTTTTGTGGAATATAAACTATTATTTCACTAAGCGATTTACTAATGTGTCCTCACGACATTGGATTTTTTCTATTCTACACGACCCCTCTTTCATATCTGCTGTGCGGATCCCAGTAATTCTTCCATTAGATTCATTCCCCCACATCCGTCGTCTTCGAAGGTGTTCTAACTTCTAACATATGAGTTCGGCTGCTACGTAAGAATTTTTCTTTCAGTATGAATATCGATGAATTATGATCGAGTCGGCAGAGAGTGCACTTTTACTCAACAAGTCTGCTACCAATTTCTTGACCATGAATGGAAGACAGGTTTAGTGAACCTAGAGCGGGCTCAAATCAGAACCGTGCTCATGATGATCGGTATCATCACCAGCGCACTACCCGTTTCCCAGATAGCAAATAACTGGACCCAAGTCGTTTAATAAGTGAGAATCACTAACAACACTCACTCTCTCATTAGGAAGTAGTTTCCAGCCATGATTCGTTCTCTTACAACGACATTCAGGGCCTCATTTCGTGAAGATGAATACAAGCTAAAGGCTGACGATTCGTTCTGAGATCGGTATCCGTATCCGAGGCCACTATATCTGAGGAAAACAATTATATAGCGTTTCCTTCACGCTTCGTACACTTTCCAAACCACTGTTAAACGTACCGTGCCATATTAGACGCTATATCTCCAGCGGACAAGACCTGGTAACACAATAAAGAATACTTTGTATGGGGAAGTGTTACTGGAAGAACTGTTGCTCCATTTCGTTGCAGAACATTGGCAGCATGGTTCCATACACGCCAAGCATCTTCAGTAAGGAACTCATTGTGATATTCCTGAGCGTCCAACAACGTTGGAAACAGCCGAACGATTGTAAGTGAAATTACCTTCGGTATACCAATTCGTAGGTTTTTCACAGAAGGCGAACCACTAGAAGAGGGCAAATGGACAGAAGTTGGATCTTTCTCATCTATACCCAGCATACTTTCTAAAAAAATCATGTTTTTCTTCTGATCAAAACATTTTTGGTAGGAAATGAAACGATAAACAATAGTGCTATGCGATCCTGGATGAAGACACGAACCCACCGAGATATGCCCAGCAAGACTTGGCACTTTTAGAAAGTATAGAAGGTGAGTCCAAGGAATTTACCTAGAAGAGGCTCGTATGCAGTGCCAGATAGCATAATGAAATTCTTTTACAACGTAGAGGTCACCAATACCAATGGTACGAGACCATAACGTGAAAGTACTCCATAGGTCGGTTTAAACCCAAAAAGTCCAGTAAATGCTGCGGGGTTTCTCGACGAACCGCCAGTGTCCGAGCCAAGGCCACTAGAAGAAAAAATGTTCACGTAGGTAAAGGTCATATTTATAAATATTAACCGGCAAACTGTCGACAATGGGATAGTAAAAAAAAATTCAAACAAAAAATTGATCATAACCAACACATCAGCGATTCCTAATTGAACAGCAACCGCCGGCCCTCCAGAAGAACCTCCTGGTATAAACCAATCAGCTTCAACATCCTCCTTAAATAAGTGCTATTTAAAGAGCAGAAAACTACGTTTGAAGATATGGTATTCCTGGAAAGGAAACACTGAAAATAAAGTGTCAATAGGAAAAATTATACACAACGACAAAAATTTTCAACAAAAATTTGGTATAAACTTAAGAAAAACTAACAAAACACACACCGTAAGACCATTCTTCACTGGTCCAAAGTGGCCTAACGCGCTAGAAGTGCCCATACAAAACTCATCCATGTTTCCTTTCCCAATTATACAGCCTCCTATATGACTAAAACTAAACGAACAACTACAACTTCAAAGGCATTACAGGTTCTAGGAAGCCCATCCCTTACCCTTGTTGATAAGTCTCTGAACAATAGTAGCTGTGTAAGGTGGCACATAGTTTTCTAGCATTTTCGAAGCACACGTCATTGGATGATTAGCAACCCTGAAAGAAAAAAAACAATGCCATGGAGAATTCAGGTAACATTAACCCCAATTTTGACCACAGAAGACTTGACTGCTGAGCCAAGTTCGTAAGCTATTAGATAACCTAAAGTGTGTGATCACAAAACTGCACTAGTAATGCCAATCTTTGTTATTCACCCGTCAAGATTATGGATTATCAAGGTGATCAAATAAAAGCTTCAGAAAATGGGCTACTTATCCTAAGTTCTTCTACGGAAGCAAAACATAAAAACATGCTCGCCGAAGTTTGCAAATTTATGTGGTCAAGGTGTTCGGGTTTTTTCCTCTGCTACGATCTAAGAGATAAGACAAGAAAGATAATAAAAGATCCTAAACTACTAGAGTGTATGGAACGCTCGGATGACCAGGAAAAATCGGCACCATAGTGCTTCCGATTGAAAAATTTCAGTTCAAGACTTTAGAAATAGGTTCAGGGACCTAGATTTTAGGTAACTCTAATAACAATACAACTGTCTCTTCCTTTCAGATGTTCCAAGATCCAAACATAATTTCAATGGTCCATAGAAATCAACTCACGCAAAGCAGTCCTTCACAACAACAGGAAACGGTTTCAGACCCTTCTGAAGAGCTGATTTCGCCTGCGAACGAGCCAATCCGAACGTTTCAGTAGTCAGTGCTCCGTACTTTCGGGATTTAATTGCACATTCGATAGCAGCTTCAATCCGTTGCATTTGTAGGAGACAAATCTGAAGATTATTTCGTTCCTACCTTCACCTGCTCTGAGCACAAAATAAAACCTCCAGTGAAGAGATTTGAAAGTATAAACAATTCATTCCTGTTGGATGATGCTGATGACACAGTTAAGTAGAAAACTGGTTGAGAGAAACGCCGATGTACGACCTAAGCGGTGCAGTGAACACCTGAGATCACGGAAAGGGTAATCGCAGGGTTCGAATCTAGCTGTGGCCCAAGTTTTGCAAATATCTCAGTATCATAGTGGTTGCATAAACAATTAAGCTGTTCAGGAAAAATAAGAACTACAAATGTGGTTTTAGCAATTTACGGATAGTTCATGAGCGCGAAAATAAATGATGAAGGATAAAGCGTCGGACAACAACCAATCGTTTGCGAGTGTGTCATGCATTCGATTCCATTCGTAACATCACAGAGCAGATTGAATGCATAATTGGCTTTTTTACAATGGCTTATGATGGACTACCGATGGATCATGTCAGCATTGCCGTCTTACCTATCAAGTCCCGTACGAATTTGCCGACCTTAGAGTGAGGTCGAAGCCTTCAGTTTAAAAATACGTCTAGAAAGCAAAGAATGAATTCGAAATCTAACGGAGAAGCTACTAATAAAGCAGAACTAAAACGATTTTCGGTAAAAGAATCGAAACTGAATAAGAAATCCTTGAGAAAAAATGTTCAAAACCTGGCACGATGCCAGCGGTTCGTGCGCGCAGTGATCGACCCGGGGCGGGGTCGACGTTGTGGGAGGGCAGGTCGCGTCGGGCACACTCCGCTGCTCGCCCGCTCTCCTCGTCCCCCCGACCACCGGGAGAGACGAGGTTTGTGGGTCAATCCCATTGTGGGACACATGAGGTTAGAGATAATGGGAGATTTCAGACGCTTAGACGACATATGCTCTGTAATGGGGAAAAAACAGGGAAATTACATTCTTCTAAGTAGTAGCGTTTTCTAGCTTAATTCCTCGAAAGTGCCTCCTTTAAGAATATGAACTCCAGCACAGCCCACTTTCCTCCCGTTCCTTCCCTCACAATCGTCATCCATAGCGGGTGGGTTCTTCCAAAACACTGACGTCTATAAACACTGTCTTGTGATTCATGGATTTTTCCCAGCTGTGAACCACAAATGCGTCCGTCTACTTGGTCTTGTATGAGAGCTCTTTGCCGTAGCAAACGGTTCCATGTCACCTTTCATTAACTATTGCCGTCAAATGACTGGGTCCGTCAACGTTTTGGTTTCGATGTGTTCTCTCGCGAATGATGACGTATTCCTGAAGGACACAAACTCTAGAAATCACGTGTAGCACAGTGGTTAGAGGTGTCCTGCAGTACAAACACGGTCCTTCGTTCGATATTGCGCGTCAGCACACCTAACCTTCCATCTCTTCGACGTCGGTGAATTGGTACCTGTCTGGGAGGATAGCAGCACTGACTCGATGCATCGGTAGGCTACCGCAAATGAAAGTGAAACCAGAATGCATTCAATACCCTCTAACTATAACGATGCTCCATGAAGTCGAATGAATAGCGCATCCCTTAGGGATTGATCAACGTCGAAAGCCTTATTTTTTATCGTTCATGAACTCCTTAGTCTGGCCCCTCGATACAGTGTGTGCTGGATATGTCCTAGCAGACATCGTTTAATCGCTACGTACACGATTTGTTAGGCGCTAGATGTGGTTTCGTTATCTCATTGCATCTTTTGCTATAACAGAGCATCGGGAAGACAGCGAAGTGGGAAAATCGAGAGCAGAACTTCGGGACCGTCAGCGATCGGTAGCTTCCGACAAAGGTATAAACACAACCCGTACTGCTTCTTTTCTTCTACACAGTTTCTTTCTTATGTCACTTTTTCCGTAAATTGAAGGACCAAGATAAATTTTGTCGTCTTTGTAATTACAGGACTATCCGTTTCGATTTCTTCACCTTCGGACTAAAGGTTTATCGTGAACTGGGTTTTCTCACGATTTATTCGCAGTCCTCCATGTCTCCATGTTTTCTTGAACTGAACCTACTCTCTACTCCATTAGTATTCTTGGATAAGATAAAGATGTCATCGGCAAAACGACGGTTTAATAGGAATTCTCCATCAACGCGTATGTCTTTTTCTTCTTAATGAAGCGACTTTATTATCCGTTGCCTAGTTTTCGCGTGACACTGCCGCCATATCGGAGCCGTTTTCCTATGAAGATGGCAAGAGAATGCGAAAGAGCTGCCTTCATGGTCCAATTGCGATGACAGTCGCCACGAGTTTTTATGTACAACGGTTCCACTCCTTGGTCGACGAGTGTTGATAGAATGACCTTGGTCTCGACGCTGTCAAACAGTTTTTCAAAATCGCCAAACGTTAGGACAAAGGGAAAATGATGCTCCCGACAGGATTCTACGATCGGTTTAAATGTGGTCCATCCAAGTTAGTAGTCTTGCCGACCGAAGTCCTTGTATAAGCAAAAGGATAATCTTGTAAATTATGCAAATACACTCGACAGCTAGCGCGATATTTACGAACACACATTGAATTACACTTCTTCGGTAGGATGACTGTGCGTGAGATCTTGCACCGGTCTCGTATAACTTACCCTTGAAACGATACTGCTATTTTGGTTGTTCCAGGCTCCTAGTTTGAGAAAAATCGGCCATGATTTCGCATGGTCCTGAAACTGTCCCTGTCTTCGTGTTCCACGTTGGCACTCGGACTTCATCCCGAAGAATTCGACATACTTCTCATTTTGCATTTAATACGATTGTTCCAGATCGGAAAAAGAGATTCCACCTCGCAGTAGTTCCCAGGACAAACTCTCTCATAACCTCGGCGTTAACCAATAATTCACTATTTTTATGATGAGCACATACGAGTTTGTTACTACACTATTTGTTTAACCACATAAGCTGAACTTTTGGCGGATTTCGCTTTTTGAGAGCTGGAAAGGTTAAGTTGACTGTAATTCAGTCAATTAAACACCTCCAGAACCCGAAAAGAAAAGCGACGATACCTAGAGTTCAGTCGCATGGGAAAAAGACAGCTTCTTCGTACAATGAGTCCTCCATCGAGCATTCCACGTGGAAACCAACCGTACGGAGTTCACATAGATGGATAATGCGCCACTTTAACATTAAAACATCAATTTGAGATATAGCGTGAGATCACATGTGATAAGGAAGCATTCCTTCTTGCTGCTCATTTTTTGATTCTTGGAATTTGTCCAGAATGTTTCGAGGGTTTACACGCTGAGGTTTCCGATTCCTGTGCGAGGTTGGTCACTTCTACTTTAAAATATTCCTCGCTACGTGTCTGGGTCCCATGCGCTCCAAGTGGAATATTTAGTTTAACTTTACGCTTGCCATGTGGGTGTTCGTTTATATGGTCACAGTGGCCAACCTGTTTTACCAATATATCCGTCCCCGCACGCGTTACAGGAGATCAGCTACAGCTCACCCGAGCTCAGGCAATCACCGTATCTACCGTTAGGGCAAATTTTGCACTTATTCGCTTTACATAGTCGGTAATACAAACGGCTATGAATTGGCTGGTGCGTTCTTGGAATGCTCGGTAGCATTATATTTCAATCACTGCTATCGATTTCTCTAAACCGGCACTTTTTAAACAACTTTTTACAGTGGTGCTTATTTCAAAGCGAGGGGAAAGACAAAGAGGACCGTACTCCAGCGAGTTATCGGTAGGGAGTATAACTTTCACTCGTGCCGATAAGCAGTCGTTTCGTAGTCGTTGGAAATGGCTATTTGCCGCGCCAATTTCCGGGATTCATCCTTCTGCTCCCTTCCTGTGCGCACTTGTAGCTGTTCAAACACGTTTCTTATAAGCGCGTTTTTTGTGTTTGATGGGTGAGAGGAGAGGCAATCAACGGTGCGTTTGGACCAAGCCTCCAAAGGATATGTTTAACGAGTAACGAGAATAAGATCCCGTTTATCCTGCCCTTCATATCAGACGAAACGGGCATAGTTATAAAACGTTGCTTACAAAGGGCTGCTCCAGGGAAATCGGAAGCAGTGATTGAAATGCCACCGAACACTCTAAAACTTCTGATAGTAGTCCGTAACTGTTTGCATTACTGTCTGTGCAAAATAAACTGTCGCATAATTTGCCCTAACGGTAGAGATGGTGACTCTATGAGTTCGGGTACACTGCACCTGACCTCTTGTGAAACGTGATGGGACGAATATGTTGGCGAAAATGGTATACTACTATGTGTTCACATATCGAAGACCTAGACAGTAAGCGTAAAGTTCAATAAAATACTTCATTAGGTGCCCACAGGACAAAGACACATAACGGGGATGATTCTGAAGTTTAAGTGACCATCTCTGCACAGGAATCGAAAACTTCAGTGCAAAAAATTCTCGAACTACTCTGGATAAATTCCCAGGGTCCAAAAACGATGTGCAAGGAGAATGCCTTGTTATTACGCTTGATCTCATACAATATAAAAGACTGAGAGGGGCACATTACCTATCCATGTGAACCCTCTACGGTTGGTGTCCTCGTGAAATGTTCGGTGGAAGATTCAGAGAAGGCGGTGATTGTGCGAAGATGTTATTTTGTTTTCGATGGGATTGAAACCTGGCTATCGTGATTTCTGTTCATGTTTTGGAGATGTTTGGCTGATTAGGTTGCAGTCAACATAAGTTTTTCAAGCCTTGAAGGAGGCCAAAACCGCCGAAACGTTAGCTTTTGTGGACTACAGTAATGACCTCACTGTGCTTATCAAGAAAACAGAGAATTCCATCCTAGTTTAATGTCTCACAGCGAAGTTTGATACGTCCGACAGCGATATTCACGAGCATATTCATGAAGTTTCACACGCCATTTCCACATCATGGTTACTTTTCGAGCTTCCTGTGACAGCAGCTTTTCCTTCTTGCGCAGGTGCCCCACGCAGTAGCTTACCACTCGTCATGGCTGCAGAAGGGGTTTCTTAAGTGTCAAACTGTGATGCATAGAGAGTGGATTCACCTGTCTTCCTCCTCAGCACAAGTTGAAGGAGTTTAACATTTTTAGTTCGGATTCGGATCTTGCAGCTGGCACAAGGATTCAGCTGGCATTTGTTGACAACCCACGAGATATCTTAAAGTGGAATCTGGGTTCTCTCCATTACTTCTCGAGCAACTCCTTAGTGGTGATGGAAATATGATTAGAACTCGAACCATTTGTTATGTCCGGGAAAGATTTCATCCAGAACTGTTTCATCATATGCAACTCTTCTTCCTTTTCTTGGGCGAAAAGAGTCTTCTGGCCTTTGGCTGAAACTAATCTTTGCGCAAAGCAAACAGTGATTGAATCCAGTGCAGAGGAACGATATTATGGCCGTATCAACGAGGCACGATCTTTTCTTTTTAAGGATGTGATCGATCTCCTCTTGAGTCGTGTTATTAAAAGGTCCTCATAGCCAGCAACGTCGTTTGTTTTCCTTTCGTTTGAAGAATCACGTCCCAGAAAAGCGGTTTCAACTCTGATGTTGACTTCCTATTTAAGATGTGTACCCACTTTCACTGATCTTTCCTTCTTTGGAGCTAAAATCCACAAGAACAAATTTAGCGGAAAGTTGTTTCGTTGTGCACTTTCTATCCAGGAGCTTGCAAAATGCACTACATTTGCACTTATGAGGTGCATGTGTTGCTAAGCAGCAACTATAATGCTCATCTTGTCAGGACGTGGAGGTATGAAATAGCTTCATGGTGTAATCGAATCTCGTAAGTCTACATAGTGGTCAACGGATACACTCATTGACGGGTTTTAACATGGATATAACCATCGTCTAACCTAAACATGGTACCGTGGTTTCACCCAAAAATCTTGCCCCTTTTTCTGGCAGTCTCCTATGAGGAGATTACGCGAATCTTGATGTAATATTCGGGATTTATAGGAGTGTGAAGTTCGCTGTTAAAAGTACTGTTTTGGACTTGCAAGTGCACAAGAAACCAGTCTCTATGATGCATCCTGGGCGTATGATGTTAGTCCGTTCAGAGTGACGTCTTATGCAACTGGCGATTAGATCGCCTTCGACCGGCTTTTTCGCAGTCCGACTTCGTAGCTGGAAGTGGTCAGTGTATGTGGCACTGGGGCTGGCCTCTTGTTCATTGAGTTCACTTCATGTTCCGAGGCGTCGAACTCTTCTAGATCAGAATGTCTGTAGCTGCATAACTAGTCTTCTTCCATGAAGCTGACAATTCCTGGAACAGGTTTGCTCATAGCGTGGATTCGACATTCAGCAGTGAACATGACTTTGAAAGATGTACTAGATAAAATGAAATAAATAGTTAAATAAAAGGAATGGTTGAGGAGCAATGAACATCATAGGAGGAAATAAATGAAAGAAACAGAACGGCATATAAAAATATGTTTTATGATCTATATGACCGTCTATGTGCAACGCAAAGTTGCGTAATTTGCCCTAATGGTAGATACGGTGATTGCACGAGCTTGGGTATAGTTTATCTGATCTCCTGTAGGGGGTGCGGAGACGAATACATTGGGCAGACTCCTCTGTGTCCGCATAAAAGAACACCTAGTCGGCAAACGTAAAGCAAATAGCTCACTAGGCACGCATAGGAACCAGCGACATAATGGGGAGGGCTTTGAAGTACGTGTCACGATCCTCGCACAGGAATCGAGAATGCAAGCGCGCAAAACTCTCGAGGCGTTCTGGATTAATTCCAAAAATCCGAAAATGAACCGCAGGGAAGAATGCCTCATTATCAGGCGTGATATTGGACGGTATATAAACCTGCTATTTTGACGGGAGGGCCACATTACGCTTCCATGTGATTTCTGTGCGGTTGTTCTTCACGCGACATACTCAGTGAAAGACTCATTGAAGGCGGTGAGTGTGCAAAGCTGTGTTCAATGTGACTGAAATCTTGGGTTGGCGTTTTCTTTGTTTGGTTACGGAGGTGTTTCGCCGAATAGATTGCTTTCAACTTGACCTTTCCAGGCTCTGAGGAAGGCGAAATCCGCCAAAACGTCAGCTTATTCGTGAATAAAGAATAAAAATAACACCTCGCGTTTGCTCAACAAGAGTACGAAGAAAAATATGTTTGTTTTTCCATAGATTTTTATTGGTTTTCTTTTAAGTCACAGTTAAGAGTAAAGTACTCTTTCACTGATAAGCTAACACCACTTTATTCGGCTAACGTTTCGACATCTTCGTCTTCCTCAGAACAGATGATTAGAGTAGATAGTCCACTATCGTTCGCCGTCTCGCTGTTCTGCAGGATTATCCGTTGAAAAACAAATAGCTATCAACGGATAACCATAATGATGCTGAGACACCAACTTTTTTTATTTGCTGCCTACTATAATTTTCACGGCAGGATATAATGCGAAATACAATACCAAGGGTGACGCGTTCACCACCATACCATGCGAGTCCTTTGTTTCGCCCTTCTCTCAGCCGTTTTATCAACGGATAGTCGTATCAAGAACAACCGTTCTATACACAAGAGCGCATCGGAGTGAGATTGTATTATTTGAGTAGTGCTTCACTGAGGAAGATTTTACTCGATATGATGATGAAGGCATCATACCGAAAAGAGGAACGACGGTGGATCATCGACTCGGATCATCGTCCCTGAAGAAGTCGGTTTATTACATCTAAACGTTAACGTCAATAACGTGAAGTTTATTACGCCTAAACGTCTACCGAATAAACCTTCTTACCAACCTTGTGTTAGCTTACTAATGAAGGAATACACATTGGTCAATCACGCCGAGGTTAAACGAAAACCAGAACAGAGTTACATTTCACTATCCGCACTTGAACTAGGTGCGAAAGCTGTAGTACTTAAACAGTATTGATAGTGAATTGAAATTGAACTAAAACTTGAATTTAAATATTGAAAATAATGTCCTACTCTGTTTGACAACAGGATGACCAAATTATCATCTATTATCACCACAGCAAAGGCACGTGTAGCGCAATAGTTAGAGGTTCCTTGATGTAGGACTTAGGCCAGTGAACCAATAACTGCAGTGACGATTACTATACCAGAAATATATGTTTTAGGCCTAGCTGCTTGAGCCACTAACTGGAAATAGACTGCTTACCTTTGCATGAGTTTTCAACGCGCTATTTCTGTCGGTACCACCTGACCAGACACCAAATCTGGGTAATTAAACCTTCGTATAAAATAAAAACACCAATACAGTGGTAAAATTGTACGATATACGGTGACAGGGTCAGTGAATGTGACACAGAAGGCGGTAGTAGAGATGCAAGAGGTCAGCACACCAGACAGCAAATGTCGGCTTATGAAAGTTTCAGATATGAGAACAATGCAGTGACCACGAAAGAGGACCCGATATGGCCAGGTTCGGTAGAACGTTACGAAGAGGCTGCTAAAACCCTCAGGGTCATTCTAGGCTACCTACATCACAAAGGACTATGGTGACGAGCTGTACCTAGAGCGTACGCACACTTGCATATGAGTCGTTGATAGAATAGTTGACCACTCAGGTGACAAAGATGAGGTACGACGTCATCGGACCAGCTGAGACGAGAAGACGTCACCCATTCAATGCCGCCTGTGACACTAGAAAAGAATTGCTCCTCAGAACATGCGACAGGTTAGGAATCGCCGGTGTCAGCGTCCTGGTTAACAGGAGTTTGGTCACGAACATCGATTTATTCGAACAACTAATAGTCCGAATCGGACGCCTGCTATTCAAGAGATGTGGATCAATACCGTGTTTGACAATCTTTGTCATCTACACACCGACATCAAGCTATGACGAAGAAGAAATCGAAGCATTCTAAACGGACTTTGAAAAGTTCTACAAGGAAGACAACACATTCCCCAAGGTCATCATTGGAGATTTTAACGCTAACACTGGACCCAGAAGAACGTCTCAGGAGCGCCTTATTGGGAGCCTTATTCACCGCATTGGGACCCACAGATTAGAATTGAACGAGCAAGGTGAGTAGCTGTCTGAGTTTATCAAAACGATCAAGGCTATCCATGGTAACTCGCAATTCCAAAAGCTCCACTCTCAACGCTGCACGTAGAAGTCTCCCAGTGACAAATACCATAACGAAATAGACCACATCATAGTAAATCGAAGGTTCTGCCTCACCGTTATCGCTGTAGTCCAAAAATTCTCCACAGGCTCAGATCATCTCTTTCGCGCAAGGTTTCACTTCTCGCGGAATGGAGAACATGGCGCTAAATTTAAAAAAATACCTAAACCACTGTAAACGGGGTTTGTTCGGTTCACTAGTCAGCTACTGGGAAGGCGCGCTCTAACATTGACGAGGAATACGATCAGATCATTCAACATCTCCAAGTAAGCGCTATGAAAGCTGAAAGTTCGAAGGTTACCAAAAGACGCCTGTCTGCAGAAAGAGGTCGAAGCTGCAGAGATTGAGACAAGCCCACCAAAGCTTCGCCAACTACAAAACCAAGTTGATATCACTCCGATGCTTAGACGGAACGGTCATAGCTTCCAGAAAAGCAATGGAGAAAATCATTCATGATTATTAGTCGGACTTCTTTAACAGCCACGTCCTCCTGCTCCCACATAAAATATGAACAACACCAGGTCTGGACAGGATAAGAACCGAACACCTGAAGAACCTTCCCCCAACCCTCACAAACACACTGGCTCGGCTCTTCACACGTCACTTGTGCGAATGCAAGGTCCTTGCTCAACGGAAAGCCAGAAAGACCGTGCTCTTGTCAAGACTAATTGAAGTATGGCGACAGTACAAAAGACCGCTCTGTCTCACTTTCATCGATTTAAAGAAAGTCTTTGACTCAAGTGAGATAGAAGCACTCATGGAAGCCCTTGATACTCAACGAGACCCTATTCCGTATATCGAGATTCTTCGTGAGCTATATAAAAATTTTACAACCAAGACATCGCCATTCAACGACGATATTAACATCGACGTCAAAAGAGGTGTTAGGCAAGGCGATACCATCTCGCCAAAATTATTTACCGTCACTCTCGAGAACGTCATGCAAAGAGTGGAATGGGATAACATAGTGAAAACCGGTGGTCGGCGATTACACCATCTTCGCTTTGCTGATAGCATTGTTCTTATAAGACGAAACATTAACCAAGCGGAACAAATGATGGCCGACTTTGACAATGCCTGTGGAAAGATTAGCCACCTAATAAATCTTCCAAAAATGATGTTCATGAGGAACGCATTGGCTGCGTGTGCACCGTTCACGCTCAACGAAATAAATATCTCCGAATGCTCCAGATACGTCTGTCTATGTCGAGAATTCAAAATAATGAACGACTTAGGTCTGGAACCAGCTGAGAGACAAGCGAAACAAAGAATCCGCATGGTGTGGTGGTGAACGTGTTACTTCCCGGAAAGGACAACAGCGCGTGCGTTACCCACCGCAAACACCTGCGGTCCGGAGTTTTGCAAATATCTCAGAACCGTTGAATATTTCGCAGTATACCCTGCCATTAAAAAGAGTAGGTAGTAAATAAACGGTTAAGATTGTGATTATAACCAAAGCCTCAGCTTAACCGGGTTCATTGCCGCTCCCCAGATCAATTCAGGTGAAGGGTGATTGCTGATGGCAAATATGGATAGAACTATCTGAGAGAGAGGCAAAACTTAGGTCTGGAGTTGAGCAGGTGGAGGCGGGTGTCTTGGGGAGCTTGCAGGTGCAACGAGGATGTAGTGAAGGGAACAAAGAACACCTGACTCCATGTACAGCTTTTCGACTCCATGATTCCTCCTGGCGCGCAATCGAAAGGACGATGTTAGGAGTACCTCGCATCACGCAAATGCTGAAAGGGATCCGAAGCTCTAACGTGTGTCAGCGATCAAAAACCAAAGACGCCGCCCCATAAGTTTAACTGTCGAAGATAAGGGTGGCCGGAAATATAATGTGAGTGAACGACAACCGACGGAAAGGAGCTGCCAGTTACTGAAATCTTCAATATGTCAAACCTAGGAACCTGCAGGAAAACTGCAGGAAGACCACCTAGCCGAAGGTCAGAGTTTTTCACAAAACCTTTAGAAGGAAGATATAATGCTCAAAGAGTCCCTATAGCGAGCAGAACCCACTGGGCTATTCTTTCACGCAACGGAGAAAAATGGAAGATTTACTGGCGCTTGCTATAGTCCCTCGACGATCAACGGGACGACAGGTGATACAAGTGAACAAGTCATTGAGAAAGAGGACCATGAGGAGTGGCAAAGTATTAGGCAGGATAAATCACCCATGAAACAAACATATGGACGGATATCCATGGATTCAAGCGCAATGAATAATAAGAAGACGAAGTGATGTGGCAATAGTGAGTTTTGTAAGCACCTATAAGAGAGACGAAAGTATCTAAGACAGCTGCTAGATCAACAGCGCATGGTGGTTAGATGATGAATCATAATAACTTTAATATGCCGATGATGTCGGAGTGTGAGACTTGCTAGTGATCTCTACGCGTTGTCTGAAGGCAAAATGGCACTGATGTGGGCATGACTGATTCCGAGCCATTCCGCAGGTGTCACCCTGTGAGGAGCCTACAAGCACAGCATGGGCCAGCTGCGAGGCAAAAACGTGAGCCACTTGCTATGACTTACTGCTGTGTGCGTAGTGAGTTGGCTACCATGAAGCAACCAGAGAAGGTACATGGACGATGGATGGAGACATTGAGAACATCCGATATTTACGGAGAATGTTATATATACTGGAAAAAGTAGTACAACATAGAATACACTGGAGCGGGGTTAGCGCAGTGGTTACTGATGCTGTCGATCAGGAATCAAAGGCGCTAGTTCGATCGCCGCCGCGGTGCTTTTTTCCAACCCACGTGAGAACGCCTTAATCCGGCTATCTCCAAGATTGTAAGGAGAACTGACTTGACCGGCTTTCTATGATGTTCATAAAGACGATATCCACAAGCAACACGCGAAGTGTTCGAAGACCATTGGGGAGGGTGGATGCGACAGAAAACAAATCGAATGCGAGAAGTGCTGGTGTCCTAACAGTGGGTGTGATGATGGGCCGTGTAAAAAGGGAAGTCATCTATACATGCAACAGACATGGGATTGTTGGTTCGCTTCCTTGGTTTTCATTCCTCCGGTGTTAGCAAATTGGTATCAGACTTGCCCAGAAGGATAACAGAACCAGGTTGATACATCGGCAGGCCACCCGCAAGCCATTGCGTAGAGCAAATATGCATTATTCAATCATCAATAGGACGTTATGACTGAAACAGAATGCGATGCGCATCTCCCAGAGATTGACCAACACCAGACGCTTTATCACTTATCCTTTTACCCCATATCAAACGCTCGCATCCAGTGCGTCTTACTGTCTCAAAAACGAAAGCAGCACTTTTCTGCTCTTGCAGTGTGCCAGGACTGTTGAAAAAGTTAAAATCCTTTCCTCACGTCCCCACGGGTACAGCCATCAGATAAGTCTTGACTCTGTTGATCATTTTACCACAGACTTTGGATCTGTTCCACGTAAAGGTCACTTCACACCCTTTAATAAGGTCACTCAAACCAAGAGTTCGACAAACCCACTAAAAGGCGCCGTCAGGAGCAAAAAACTTCTAGGAATTGTCATCGCTTTTGATGAATCGCAGTGGCAAATTAGGAAATCTTTCCTCCATTAACATCGACCGACCACTACCTGTAGCGACAACTCTGCAATGTTTTTCTGCGGATTTACTTACTTAACTCGATGCTTGGATGGCCCGTTTTCACTGGTTGTGCGGGCCCCAGCATAATTTCCATTTGGCCGGACATTTACTGGTTTAGCCATTGTGGCTCCCTGAGATCCCGAGGCCAACCTAGCCAAAGTCTGCCCGAGATTGTCACCACCACAGGCTGTCGCTGCCGTTGTGGATTAGAGGGAGATTTGTCACCAGTTCTTGACCAATTTGACGATGGTGAATCCTAGCATTGGTTTACCCTTAGCTGGGCTTCCGGATGGGAACGTCAATATATCTCTGCAGAATTAAGGAAGAAAAACAGCCTGATAAGTGGATGAACGGAGAACGGGCTGGGTCATCCCGTGATGTACTGTCGTTCATGATGCGAATGGTCGGCCGAGCCAACTGCTTCCAGCGATCGAGGATATCGCGCTAGAATCGGCGGCCGAGTTTTCTCGGCCTCGTCCACGTACCTTCACACAGTCCACCACGTACTGTTCAGAGTTGTATGGTTTCATTCTATTCTGCATAGCGGCTGAGCTCGTTGTTAATCTTCACCTTATATATACTACCTTAACAACTCGTCTCTAAGTGTTAAAGCCCTTGTGATGACGGGATATTCTCATTTTTTCCTTTACGAACCATTCTTCGCCATGTTTGTTAGCATCTGCGATCTCAAGTCGTGCTAACGTTTAACACAATTAAGAATTATTTTTCGTATTTGGACTTTACCATTATTTTTTAGGTCGTAAATATCACGTGGTTGGGTCCGGCCTTAAACGATGCGGATCCGATTCATGATTGGTTTGTTTGTCCTCGTATCATACCTTGTCGAAGCTGATGAGCATGATCATATGTATGAGATCGACGAGGAAGTAGTACTGTGGATGAATACGGTCAGTTATCCATTTTTTCGGTTTTTTAACTCGTTATCGTTTTCACAGTCAGCAGACATAGTTCGTTCAGTTACCATGGACCTAGAACTTTATCGCGTTTCATTTCCGTGAGTTTATAAGCGATACAAATTCCTGGATCCTGTATCATTGACAAGCATTGATTTAATCATGTTTCATTTGTAAGTTTCGATAGGGTATGGGCATGACAATCCGTGTATTACGTGAAAGCAGGCTCAGATTTCTTGTGATTCACCAGTTTCACTACACAAGTCGGACTTGACACCACTCAAGCAAACCGTGCTCTTTGTTGTGAGATAGTTCTCTTTGAGATTCTAGGGTGTTCGTCAAATTTATTCTGGGAGTGTAAAGTTAACTGGTTCACCAGGTGATTTCCACAAAAGACGCTTTGGACATGACTACTCAATTGCTAATAACTTGTTTAGATACTTATGTGCTCGATCTTTAGTATCAGGCAGTCTTTGGCAGAGTTCTTAGTCATTTCACTCTAATTTCATTGTCTCACAATCTTCGTTCGTGAAGGTGGTCGAGTTCGTGTGTAGGTTCTCCTGAAACTGGAGTATCCTTCGTTTTCTGTCTTCATTGACATTTTGTGTTGGTCAAAGGCAGTCCTTTATACAATCGCAAGATAGCCACACTAGGATACTTCCAGATAATTACAGGCAGTCACTGAATCCAACGGTCATAGACTTTCTTACGAATAGGAGAGAGGCATTCTTCCAGGATGTCCACGCTTCTTGAGATTTTTCGGCGGAGCATTTGAGTAGGATGCCATAACTCCTCTTTACTCATAAGCTACCGGGCAATTAAAGAAGTACTGTAAGCTAGTAGTTAGAAAAAAGTAGATGAGTTAGAAAATTAGAGGTATGTGTTTGAATTTTTCTTCTCATGAGTCGGAGGAAAGATGTGAGTAAAACCATTCTTTTCAACAAAATTGATATTTTGTGGCCGCATAAGTTGAAATACGTTTTCCCCTTTAATGGTCTCGAAACGTTGGAGGAGGTTCGAGTAATCAGAGGAGTAGCAATTCTATGATAGTTGATTGAAATGCCAAAATCTCTGTACTTAGAATGTTTTCACTTTCATTGAGATTAGCTCAGCTAATAGCCTTCTCGAAAATGTGGTTCTAGATGTATCGTATTTGTAATTTTTCCACTTCCCATAAGGCTTTTTTTACCTCAGGACGAGCTGAAAAAAGTTTAGTGTCTGAGTATCACTCTAGTTGAAGTATAAGGCTCATGATGAACTGGAACTTGTTAAAAATACCTTAAGTGTGTTCATTTCCGATGAAATCATGTAGGATGTGGCTCATATCGAGCAATATAACTGAGCTGTTCTCCATCTATCTACAGTGCTCATATACTTTTTCTTAATCGTTAGCATATCACGAGTAGCTTTACAATTAATACGAGAGTAGTATAGTACTGTTCCAGAACTTTTCTTTAAAGTGTTAAATCGATTTTTTGTCTTCCTCTTTCATGTTTTTACTTTGTACTTGTGACGAATACCTTATTTGTAGTCACTTAACTGGCTAGTACTTGATACTTTCTTACTTGAATGACCCCCGTCCTCACTGGTTGTGCGGTCCCTAGTGTAATCTCCAATTTTCGGAGATTTGCTGGTTAAGCCATTGTGGTTCCCAGAGTCCCGAAGTCAACTTGGCCAAAGTCTGCCCAGGTTGTCACCACCGCAAGCAGTCGCACCACTTGTGGATCAAAGGGAGATTTGCAAGTTCTCTGGAAAATTTGAATCGGAATTTAATTTGAGGGTTAGTTTTCCAAAACCCTTCAGCAGTTTTCCAACTGTCATTACTAAATCGTATCGAAAAACATCATAAAACCATTAAACGATTGGTTCGATTTTTACCGTGTTTGTAGAGGCAGTACTTAAGATTAGTTCATATCCCATTCTTTTGAATGTTTGATTGTTTACATTTATAGTAAGAAGAAATTCACCGATGTTCAGTACTAATTTTCTTCCTACTTGTCATTCCAAGGAATTTTTCAATCTACTTTAAATTGCTCGTTTCTATAGGACGCCACTTGTGATAACACTGCTTTGTTTAGGTCGGACCTTACAGCAATCGACAAGAGACCTACACATATTTTTCGTTACCATTTTGTCGGGGACCAAAGCAATCTATCGGTCACTACCATGAAACTATGGGAGAGTCTCTTCTTGGAGTTGAACTCGACTTTTCTGGATTGGATATCAAATTCAGAAGTGTGTTTCACTTAATCGTTGATATGCTTAGGTTTTCGTGCAGGTTTTCTTTCGAACTGAAATGAGTTCACTTTCAGCCAATACGAAGAAGACGGTCTTCTGCAAGAAGAAATTAACGAACGACGAGTATCAAACATTCGTCTACGCAATTAAAAACAGCTATTTTTACCAGATGTATCTCGACGATATGCCAATATGGGGTATCTTCTTTTTTATTTGTTTTTAAACGTTATCCATCCATGTTCTTGTCAGTGTTTTGACTCGGTCCGATCTAATGACTTACATTAGTAAGAGTACTGCACAATGTACTACTAAGGACCCGTGTAGCGCAGTGTTCGAAGGCGCTGTGCAACACACATGGGATCGTTCCCCGCACCCATGGCTCACCAAGCCTTTCATTTCTCCGGGTTCGGCAGATTGGAAGCAGACTTGTTTGGGAGGATAGTAGAACTGGGTCGACACATCGGTAGGCCACCGAGAGTCGTTGTAAGGCCCAGATATGGATTCAGTTACCTCTAATGATGCTTAATGAAGTCGATTGCATCACACATCCCTCAGAGATTTATCGACGCAGCTTCTTTTTGTTTGCGCAGCTTTTTATAGCCTTGGCGTAAAAGGGAAAAAATATTTGAGAATGATGTATTACATGACTGGAAAGTGTTATTCTTGATGGCAGTGAGAGTCGTTGTTCGTCCGGAAACATCCGCGGTTTTTTAAAGCTTGCCTGCGCAAAGCGTTTATTTTAGGTTAATTCTTTGCGACAGATAGCTAACTTCCATTTCTCATTGCATTATTTTAGAAAGGCAAATATTCATGGTGGGCTTAGTTATTAAAGTCATACAGAATGTCTAGGAGGTTGTGTTTCTGATAAAACGGTTCGGAGAGTATTTGTGGATTTCCTGTGTAATACCTTAATTCCCAGAAACAAGATCATTCTAAATGTGTTTCCGCTATGAACGATGTTGAACTGAAAGCTATAGAAGTTTCAAGGATTGAAAGATTGCTAAGTACTCCAAAAAGTCCGGCAAATGCTCGTTTGAAAAGCTGTTGTGGTACATGATACTACGGCGTTTGAGTATTCTCTATTGTGGCCTTATACCTCTTGCGGTTTTCTGTTAGACTGTAATAAAGTCAAGCACTTTTAAAGCCCAATGATTACCGGAGATGAAAGATTTCTGCTCTGCAGGATTTTTTCGACAAAACAGTCATTTAGGCTTTAAAAATAGCACTCGGATGTAGGTTCCACATTGTGGTACCGCTTTGTTTGTGCGTTATTAAGTACTTGCAAGCGCAGAAATCATCATTTTAGAGGAATGCTGCTCCCAAATGGCCGATGTAGAAGGAAATACTGAAGTGAAGCGTGCAAAATTGCTTAATCAGCGCGTGTTTTATTTGCATGAATGCAATTATTTCGGTTCTCCATACCCTCAAATCTCTTGCCTCAGAACTGTCATGTGATTCGTTTAATCCCATTTGTCATGGAATAGTTTTGCTAGCCATCTAAGAGTTGGCGAAGGCTCATCGAGTTCTCAACTTCGTATATTTCATTCAACAAAATTTGTCACTATTTCTAGAAGATTTCTTTTACATTCTTTTAAAATAGCTCAGAGAGCATTGATGATGATCTTAAACACAAAATGTCTTCAGTATAAGTAGATTGTACATTTTCCGTTTTTTAACTCACCCAACGTCTGAACATTATGTCGTTTAGAGATGTTTAGGTATGGTTGGTGAAGTTGACGATTCTGTATCTCCACCTGTATATAAACTGTATACATTTAAGCAGCTCGACGTTGGGTACAATGACAAGCAGGCAAGTGAAGATAAAAGAAGATAAATGAAGATAAAAGCTTTCCGATCAATTCTATTCTTTCTGTATATTTGAAATTTAGTACATGTTTACTATCCTTTTTATTTCGTTGCTGGAAGCATGCCTTGCTTTAGGTTGTGGATGTCAATTTAACTTCTGGTGGCCACACGGACATCCACCCTGGAGTAGAGCTTGAGTTCACGTACGAGGTAAGAGTTCTACTTGGGATTTATAGTCTTTGAAATGCCTTTTTTTTCTTTAGCAAATTCTCTGCTATGTGTCCTCAATTCGGTAAACAATATGGGCAAAATATATATATTTATATATATATGTATGTAGTTATACGTATACATATACATTCAGCTCTTAAGCTTTAGACCAGCATATTTCTATCTGTAGTGAACTGTATTAGTTGGAGAAAAAATTTTTGGAATCTACACATGTTTTCTTACGGGAAGAGGGAAGCGCCGTAGCTAAAGATGCGATTAAATATGTGTATTGTCATCAACATCAAAAACAACGACAACGAAGACCTGTACCAACCTCGCATCAGCCCAAGAAGATCAGTTTATAAGATCACATAAATAAATATATACGTATTGTCGTTGAAGTGATCTGGTCCCGTACCTCTAAGATCAGAAAATTTGTACTAGGTTTGTCTGAGACAAGCTTAATTCGGTACACAAATGCCAATTCAGTGTGGTGAAGTTCTTGAAACGCTCTAGCAGGGCTATTCCGGGATTCCAGGGAAAATTGGCTGAACCATTCGACAAGATTCGACGACCTTCTTTAATAAGAAAATATCCTTGTGTTGCAGACAAGTCCTCGCTAAAGACGGATCGTATAAGTTTTGACAAGAATTCTTGAATAACAAGATCCAAGTTCCCATATTTTGGCTGCATCGTACCTTACTTTCTATAGTTCTCGAATTGTTTTTTTTACTTTTTTATTTCGCCTAGTTTCGTATCTGGCGCAGCGGGGCAATTGGATAAAGTTCCATTCACGAGAATATAGTCAGTTCCTCATATGCATCGTTGGTGTTGGTGATTGCTTTGTTTGCGTTTCAGTTTTCGAATTTTTTTACACTACTATTTTTCTTAATTCTTATTTTTTTGCGAGTTTGAAATTGCAACAGTTTTTTCGAAAAGTCATTTATCCGTTTGGATCAGTAATTTGAAGTTCTTTTCTATAAATTCATCAAGTCCTTCAGTGTTGAACTACTTTAATTACCGAAAAATTAGCGGTAGTTGTAAAAAAAACCAGTAAAGTTACGAAGTTGTTTGGAAACTTGAGACAGCTTAGTTTTTTCGCTCACAGTTACGGCTTTGTTTTTAGGGTTCAACATTTTTTAGGTTAGATGGAAACAGTCATCCGTCTTATTTGCCGACAGATTTGATAAATATCTTGACCCAAGCTTCTTTCAACATAGGGTATGTTTCTTTGCTCTCAATTATGTCCTATTTTTATACTCTCGGATTCCAATAATCATTTCATCAACTAGGTTTTGTGTATTTTTAAATTACAGTCGTTTACTTATATCTACATTTTAGTGACTAATTAAAGTTTCGCTTGTTGTATAAGCCGTATAACATCATTCATCTTCGATTACTTACTTGAATACTTGGATACTTGGACGAATCATCTAATAATGCTACTTAAACCACATAGTCATACAGTTCTTTTAGATCCACTGGTTCTCGATTTTCAATAGCTTCATGATGGTAGTTTTTTTGGTCGGGCTAGTGTGGATGATCCTCGTGAGAACTCTTCGAAAGGATTATGCCCGATATCAGAAAGAGGAGTCTATTGATGATTTAGTGAGTTGTTCTTTTGCGAAGTCATAAATATACAAGAGTACCACTATAGCTAGTGCTGAACAAAAGAAATAAGATGGTGGGGATAAATTATTGCTTGCACTCAGTTTTTCTTTACATCTGCTTTTTCCTACATAACTAGAACGTATGCATTTATTATATTATTCATATTTTTATATAATAAGGCTACCAACGGTTTACCACCTCATCGTGGCTGGAAAGTGTTCCTCGGTGTCGGACTGCGATGTACAACGGGGAGATTCGTCCACCCGGCAGGGTCTCCCAAACTGAGTAGTCCGGCGTTTCCATTAGGAAGCTTAGCTGAGAGTAGACTATTACCAAGATCTACCATCGTCCTGGTATCAAAGTCGCATGATGGCAAATCTCCCTCTGATCCACAAAGGCTGCGACTCCCCGTGGTGGTGAAGACCTGGGGCGAACTTTGGCCAGGCTGACCTTAGGATTCCAGAGAGCCGCGGTGGCTTAACCAGCAAATCTCCGATAAATGGTGATTGTGTTGGGGTCCGCACAACCAGGAAGTGTGGGCCGTTCAAGTATTAAGTGTGTGTTATATAATAAGTGTCAGTGATAAAAATAACAAACTAAACTAATTAGCCCTCGGAAAGGGTAATAGCTCGTTCGCACCCCACCACAGACACCTACGGTGCGGTGTTTTGGAAATATCTCAGCATCATTGTAGTTAAAATAATTAATGCAAATATTTTGCAGTAGTAAGGGTACTCAGTGCAAAAACTATTATCTCGTTCCATTTTCTGTTTTTCCGTGTATGTTAGAAATTTGCTGTTGAAAATGTATTGAAAATGAAAATGTGAAGTATTCTTATTACTAGTTTTTACCACCAAACTGTATAATGCGTTCCACAAATGTGAATCGCTACGAAATATTTTCTTAAGAGGCATTTTTTAAGGACGCTGATTTGGGTGACGAATACGGGTGGAAACAAGTTCATGGAGATGTGTTCCGGGCACCGTCGATGCCACTGTTGTTCGCCAGTTGCATTGGTGCAGGATATCATGTGTTTACGGTAGCAGTCATAACCGTCATACTCGCTATCATTGGAGAATTCTATACCGAGTATGGCGTTGTGATTTTTCTATCAGTGCTGAAATTTACTCGTAGGGAATCGAGCAGAGAATGTTTATGTAGCGGTCGAATTTTTAAGAACTAACGTGGAAGGACTCTGATTCAGGCGTGGTTCTCTGCTTTCTGCGGCCATATTCGTCTATGCAGCTAGTTCTCCTGTAAACGGCTACGCTGGTGGATCTATGTATGCCAGATTTGGTGGACGCCATTGGATTCGACAAATGGCTCTGGGTGCTTTCCTTCTGCCAAGTTTGGTATGTGCTGCGATGTTTCTGACAGTTTGAAGCAACTTATTAATGAGTTTTTAAACGCTTATGAGATAGAATTTGTAGGGATTCTTTTTCATTTTTTTTTTCATTTTTAAGAGTTCTCATCTGACTTAATCGTTTTGTAGGTTTGTGGAGTTGCATTTCTAATCAATTTTATCGCGATTTATTATCACGCCTCAAGAGCTATCCCGTTTACTGTAATGGTATGTTTATGTATCTCTGTTTCGTCAAGCTTTCATACTGTCCTTGGCAAGATTCCTTTTTGGTTTGTTGTTTGTAAAATCTTTTAAGTCCCAGTTTTGCTCTCTTGCATAAAGGATAAAGGACGAAGCTCTTGGCGTTGATCAATCCCCTGAGGGTTACGCCATGCATTCGACCTAAGTATCGTTAGAGGTGATTGAATGCATACGTGGGCTGTATAATGACTTATGGTGGCCTACTGATCTATCACATCTCAGTATTGCTGTCCTCACGGACAAGTCTGGCAGCAGTTTGCCGAGTTAAGACAGATGGGGGCTTGGTGAGCTAGGATCGTAGGATGATGAGCAGGGATCGCGGAATCGAACCAACAACCACGTTTATAGTACGGGGCATTTCTAACCACTTTAACATGCTCCACACTCCATAACTAATTAATGTTTCAAACCGATTTGTGAAGGGTTTCCAATTTATTCAGTTCAAAATTGAATATTACTACAACTACTAGTTTGTCCATTTTGTCTTCAATCAGTCAGAGTTATCATTTCACTTTCCAAGTAAATACGGGGAAGTGGAATGTTTGCTTACATAGAACACTACTGAGGTGCAGGCCGATGCATTGTTTTGATCATACTTCTTTATTTTATACGACCCATCTTCACGTCTGCTGTGCGGATCCTAGCACTTCTGACATCCAATTAATTTCCTAGCATATATCGTCCATGAAAGTCTTCCAACTTTTACGTGTGGCTTCGGTTGTTGCTTGAGGATTTTCATTTCATTCTTAATGTCGTAGAATGCTGGTGGGGCGATTCTCCCTGGTGTCCTGAGATAGCCGGGCTGGAGCGTTCCCATTTGGACTGCAGTGATTCTTTTCCAGAGAAGTCCAGTAATAATTTTCCGACCACGAAGGGATGAGAGGCTTGGTTGACCTGGAGAGGAATCGAAATAACACTATGATCGCGGTGACCGACATCACTAACACTGTACTATTCGCCTCCTAATCATATTTCTTTTAGCAACAAATAGTTCTAATATTATGAAACCTGTTTTTTTAAATTGCCGAGTTTTTTTGTGTTACTACATTATGTTGATCTGATAATAATAATTTATGCAAAAAAAACTATGGATTATGCCATAAGTTGAAATCAATAAACCCATTTACTAGAGGTCTTAGTAGTGTCTATATGCTTCTAGCTTGCTGTAACTGCTATTTGTCTGTTCGTTATTCTTCCACTCACCCTCGTTGGTACTGTGCTTGGACGTAATATGGCTGGACAAGGGGACTACCCTTGCAGGTTTGTAGAATTTGTTTCTAAGTGTTTCCACGATGTTTTAGTGCCTTTTCCAGTGTCCGAGTTTTAGGGTAAATGCAGTCCCACGTCCGATCCCTGATAAAAAATGGTTTGTGCAGCCATGGCTAATCGTACTAATGGGTGGAGTACTCCCGTTCGGAAGCATTTTCATTGAAATGTACGTTTTAGCTTTTTCGTTTTCTTTGTTTGAATTTCCGATAACATTTTCTTTTCATTCCTTCTTTTTCTGTTCCTTCTTGTTAAGAATACGAAGCGCTGTAAGCTGTACCAGGTTGTTTTATTCTAATAAGTACACAGTTTGTTCTTTAGCACTTTAAAAATTTATTGTAAAAACCACGCGTAAATCAAGCTTAAGAAGAAACTCAACCATTTTTCAATAAAAGTGGTGTGACTGAGCCATATTAGAACATAAAATTAGAACATATTGGAACATATTAGATGTAAAATATAGCCAATACGATGCTGAGATATCTGCAAAACCCCAGACTGCAGATGTCTGCAGTGGGGATCGAACACGCTGTCACCCTTTCTAGGGGCTAACGTGTTGACCACCACACCATGCGAGTCCCTCGTTTCGCTTTTCATTGTGATTGTGTTTACTTCAGATAGTTAACATTATAATTTCGACTACAACCTCAGCTTAACTGAGTCCAATGCCGATTTGTGCTTCCCAGATGAAGCCCGATGATGGGCAATTCTTGATAGTGAGGAATTCGTCTTTCCTGTTCATCTTTGGATTTTTGAAATTTATCCTAAACGTTCTATCAAAACGAGTTTTGCGCGTTGATGTTTTTGATTCCTGCGCTAAGATCCTGTCAGTCACTTCAAAATTCTCACCATCTTTCGGCGAATTTTAATTTTGTTTCATTTTTTATTTATGCGGAGTTTTATAGAAAGTCAGCCTTTTGCAAGGTGTTAGTATAACTGCGATGAGTCATTCTACACTAGGAGAATTTTTGAAAATATGTTTAGAATCTNTTTGATTCCTGCGCTAAGATCCTGTCAGTCACTTCAAAATTCTCACCACCTTTCGGCGAATTTTAATTTTGTTTCATTTTTATTTATGCGGAGTTTTATAGAAAGTCAGCCTTTTGCAAGGTGTTAGTATAACTGCGATGAGTCATTCTACACTAGGAGAATTTTTGAAAATATGTTTAGAATCTGATTTTCCTCCAGTTTCTTCTTCCCCCTTTTTTCTTTTCCAGAATACGAAATCTATATGGCTTTCATCATTGCATATATCTCCTTTCAATTTCGAGTGGCCTATTCATTGTAGGTACTTCATTTTCACGTCATTCTGGGCTTACAAGATCTACTATGTTTATGGATTTATGCTTCTTGTCATACTTATTCTGGCAGTTGTCACCGTTTGCGTCACTATTGTATGCTGTTACTTCTTGTTGAATGCTGAAGATTATAGATGGTGAGTTTTTTTCTGTCTTTTTTAATTGTTGCGGTAAAAGTCGTGGTTTTTTTCTGGGATAAGAAACCTTGAGAGATCACCACGGTTATTACAAAGGTCGTGTATAGTTAGCGTATAGTTTTTTTTCATGCAACGGAAGTAATTTTGGCCGTTTTTTGTGACTATGAAGAAGGGAAGCATGTGATTTATTTATCATCGTTGCCAAAATCCACATTAATAAAGGCAAAAGTACTGACATTTGTTTAATTATCTTTTTTGATTGCGAAACCTTGTACCATCTGTTCCGCTGCGCCCATGTATAGTTGAGGTGAAAAATATCGTACTCGGGCACTAATGCAAGAAAAAAATGTCGGATATTTGGAATTTGGAAGGTTTTTTAAGGTCGTGTTCACGCTGTTAAGAGTTACACTGAGTGTGAATGTTTTACCTTCAAGTCGGTGTTTTCCTTAATGAGCATCGTTAATGAAAGATTGCGAAAAGAACTCAGGTTGTGTTTTCGTTTCGAAAAACTTTTTGCGATATCCCCTAGGTTATTCAGCTTTTAAGCATCGATGAAGTTACAAAACATTGCGGCACTGCGGGCAAATGTCAATACGAATACTTAGCAATACTTTTCCTGCAGTGCTTTGAGGCTTTAAAATGACAAGAGAGCAAGTTTAAAGCCGCTGCTATGTCGGCGTAGCTATTTCCTTATTTTTACGTCATGGTAATTTCTCCTCTACAGTCTCTGCCGTGTTCGTTGAGGAGATTAAATCCCCTTGAAAACCTACAAAAATGAACGCACTTTAAAGCATTTTTAAGTGACTGTTTTTTTAGTATATTCAGAACTTTACTCTTGCGAGTTTTTTTCTTGAGCCTTGTTATATATTTCATATTGAAAATCGTCAAAAAGTCTCAAGAATGTTCATAAATTCTATAGTGTATCATGAATTTATGAGAGATGATTACTGCATATACAGGGTTTGTTGGTAAGTAATAATAAGGGATAAAACTTTTGGTACTGATCAATCCCTTAGGGATGCGCCATGCATTCGATTTCATTAAGCATTATGGAAGGTGATTGGATCCACTTCTGACGTTCACAATGACTTGCGGTGGCTTACCGATTTGTAGAACCAGAGCTGTTATCCTCCCAGAATAGTCTGGTACCAATCTACCTACCCCGGAGAGATGGAGAGCTTGATGGCCTGGACGTGGGCATCGATCCCATATGTGTTGCAGGGCGTTTCCGACCACTGCGCTACACGCGCCCCTGGTTTAGTTTATTGGTAATTTCATTAAATTCCTTATAGAGTTGAGAAGAGGAGCGCTGTAAAATTATCGCATTGCAAAGAATAAAAACGTTGTTCCACATCCAGTGTAGAAATTGCTTTACTTGAAAAGTCCAAAGCCAAAAAGGGTACCGAGAACTGTTTGTAATATTGCTGTAGTTGCGACCATTATTGTGATAGTTTTAAATGTGCCGATTTGACTGCTGTAGACAGCCTGAGCCAAGCTTTTTAAGAAGAACTAAGCGCATTCACGTCGTACTTTTCCCTCTTATACGCTGACTCAGTCTAATAACACTATGTATGACCTTGGTGACAGACTTCTTATGGCAGTGCTGGCAATGATTTCGTCTTTCCGAAATCGAATTGACAGTGCTTCAGATTACTCTGAGAGTGTTTGAGGTGAAATGGAGTTTTTTTTTCTGTGTTCAGCAAATGACAATAAACCCTATGCGGTAAGACCGAGATTTCTTCATCGTGAAAAAAATTGGATAGGATGGAACCACTTACTATTCCAAATGATTACCCAACTATATCATATTTTAACCTTCAGATTTGCCTTTCTGAATAAGTTCCTTTTAAGGAGGTGGACCAGCTTTTTGGCCGGTAGTTCGACAGCATTTTACGTGTATCTTTACTCGGTGTATTATTTTTTCTTCAAGACAAAGTGGGTTGCTGTAGTGTTTTCTTTTCAATTTAAACTCTTTTTTCCTCCACTACTTTTTGCTGTCTTTAATTTTACTTACAACGAACGAATCAGTTCTCTTTTAACGTTAGCAAAGGTAGATGTTTAGCCTTAAACTTTTCTTCTCTAAACAGCATACTTTTCAGAATGTATGGTCTGTTTCAAACAGTGTTTTATTTTGGTTACATGGGCATTTTCTCAGCGGCTCTTGGTCTCATGACCGGAACAATCGGATACGTTGGTACTGCGAAATTTGTACGAAAAATTTACTCAACAGTTAAAATTGACTGAATTTGACCACCATATGAATGAAATCCCACTCGTTCATACATCATTTGTGTCCACTTTTCAATTTCTTAGTGGTATTTTACTGTCGTCTCTTTCCTCCCATACGCAGTTGTCGTTTTCTTCTCACTGGCCGTCTTTTTCCTTTATTTTTTTTACTTGTCTCTCTTTTTCGTGGTGTGTATTTTTTTTCAAATCTGGACTATCGTCTGTTGATTTTCTCCTCTTTCTTGTTTTGGCTATGTTGTCGTGTGTGTGTTTTATCCTTCTTCCTCTTTTGCGCTATCTTTGCAATCATCAGCGATGTTGTAACTTGTAACATTTCGATTACATCCACAGCAACGTTGATTGATTACTGTTATTACAGTCGATTGCAGTCGAAATGTGATATAAATTACTAATAACGTGTGAATACTCAACACTACAATATGTAACTTCTAGATAGTATATGGATGAGTTTTCTTTAATCAATAAAGTTGTTTATATTTACTTCAACCTGTGCATGTACAATGTAGACGACGAAGATTATGCGAAAACAACCAATTCATGGTGGCGGTTGGTGATGGTGATGAGGGGTGGTTTGTGTACAAAAACGAAGAAGATATGTTTCATCTGAGAAACAACATAGTACAGATGCGAGTCAAAGTTGGTAATTGTAACTGTCTGCTCTGTGAAAATCTCCAGATCACTGTGAACTCGATTTAATCGTTTACTTTGACGTTTTGACGTAGAGGTTTTTTCCTTCTTTTCATAGATATCTCTGACTAAATCGAGCTATATTTAGCAGACTGGGAAAAACAAGAAGATGGACGATGGTGGATCAATCACAGGGTGATAACAACGCAATAGAAAATAACACTAGTAATAGTAATGAACTTTTTAGCGACTACAAAACAAAACAAGTACTGGTAGCATGAATGGCTCACAATACTATGTTCATAATATTGTGAGTAGGTAAAGATTGAAAATGAGAAGATTACATAAGTATTTACATCTACACGATGAAAAAAGTAGTATAAGGAAGTAAAGTAGTACTGTATAACAATGGAATTAGTGGATCTGGGACGGAGAGAATGTATGGATGACAATTCGTGAGTGTTTGTGTAGTTTATTCTGGGAACGGGTGGGGAGATACGTTCGATGATGTGCATGGTGATTTAGTGAAATGCATAAGATTTGAGATACAAGAATATAAAGTGAGTTGCGAATACCATGAAGTGGTTTTAAACTCCACGATGAAAAGAAAATAAATATGTATGCATAACAAACGCTACAGTAACGAGGAAGCAGAAATAAGAGAAAACGGAAAAAGAAAAGAGATTATGTAAAGCTCAGAGACACGCGGGGCCGATCGAAGGCAATGCGACGATATATGAATTCAACGATGACGATGATGATTATGATGATTATGACGATGATGATTATGATAATGATGATAACAATTAGTGACTTTGGTTGGATGAATGGAAACCCTAGATTGCACACGATTGCACAGAATTCGATTATTAGTGGTAAAGAATTTTGTAGTAGTTTTACTGGTGTTGAAGAGTAGGTTAGGCAATTAATAGGCGGATACTGAGATGGAAGGCGGCTTGTTCTTTACCAGATCATGGTCCCAAATGTTTCAAGACCGGGTGGATATCAGACCGGTGCAGTACTGTTCATTTGCTCTTGCAGTGAATTCATATGATTGAATTGTTCCAGAAAACTAAACGCTGCCGGATTTGCGTTACCGGCTAACTGCGACATATTAAACAACGAACTGAGCACTGCAGAAGGCGAATTCACCTAAAAACATTCACAATAAAAGCTGTATCGATCAGTGAGAAACATGTTAACCACTCTAATTGTGTAAATTTTTCTGGCTTCTAGTATTTCTAGTACTCATAAACCCAACAGCCCCAGACAGTCCATCCGGGAAGTCCACCCCGAAACCAACAGCCCCGGTCAGATACAGCTATGCTCAGTTTCTTTCCTGAGTTCTCTGTCTGTGGGAAAATAAGACGAACTACTTCGTTCGCCAGTAGTTTTTGAATCATTTAGCAGATGTTGAAAACTTGTACATCACTGCGACCCAACAAATTAACGTTCATAACAGAGAATGAAAAAAATTGAATTAACTTCCTTGTTGCTGTTAACGCGGCTTTTAGGAGACCTATAGCTCGAGGCGAAGTCCAATTTCAAGCTTTTACGGACTTTTTCGTTTTTTGATAATACGCAATAATACGCAAGAATTTTTCGACGATTAGAGGTCTTCAGTGGTCGTGAACGCGACAGGATTGTAGAAGTGAATTTCTTTCAGCCGCTGCGCTGCTATGAACGTATACTACTATTTACTAGGTATCACTATGGTTCATTCTGTAAAAACATTGCTATCAGTATTTGGGAGGGTTTGACAGTTTATGTTAGGTTTACTTCACCATTTTTTATAACCTAACATGTTCCAGGCAATAACCATGATTCGCCGAAATCATTAATTAAAATGAAATAACAGTCAACTGTTAGTCAAACTACCCGTCCATGAATTTGCCCGAAAAAAGATTTCTTCCAAATCCTTAAGTGTAAAGGCGCGTCTGACGCCGTGGTCGGAGGTGTCCTGCAACACATCGTGGAATCGATCTCTGCGCCCATGGTCCATCAAGCCTTCCATTCCTCCGGGATCAGCAAATTGGTACCAGATTTGTCTGGGAGGATAGCAGCACTGGCTCGATACATCGGTAGGCCACCGTGGGTCATTGTAAAGGCCAGATATGCATTCAATCACCTCCAAACAACGCTTAATGAAGTGGAATGCATGGCACATCCCTCAGGGATTGATCAACGCAAAGAGCTTTATCCTTCACTCTTTAAGTGTAGAAAAATGCTTTTCTAACCTAACTTATCTTATGTTGACCTTCCTTCAATTAGACATCGAGTGAATATACATTTTTTATATACATAATATACATTTTTTTCATTTTATTTGACCCATCTTCACGTCTGTTGTGAGAATCCCAGCACTTCTCACATTCAATTCGTTTCCTAGCATCCATAATCCACGAAGATCTTCCAGCTTTATGTGTGGCTTCGGTTGCTACTTGAGGATTTTCATTTCATCTTGAATGCTCTAGAATGCTGGGCGAGCAATTCTCCGTGGAGTCCTGAGATAGCCGGAATGAAGCGCTCTCAATCGGATTAGAGAGTAATCTTTTCCCTGACAAGTTCGGTACCAGTTTCCAAACCCCGGAGGGAAGACAGGCTTGGTTGGCCCGAAGCGGAATCGAAATAGCACCATGTTCTCGATGACCCACATCACTACCACTGGGTTATCCACCCCTTCATATATATAGCGCGTGGCAAAAATGTTCCGTAACCCCTTGAACTGAAAATGGACGCTATGCGTGCAAATGGTACACTCGCACGTCCAAATTCAGAAGTATTCGTTCAAATTTTTGTTGTGTTAAAACTCCATAACATTACTACGTGAACTCTGTGTTCTTTATAAAGCACAACTCTGCTGTTTTGAAAAGCTGCCGTTGCAGAAAAATTCCTTCTCGATCATCTTCGAAACAACTTCCATCATCGTACTCAAGTATGCCTCAGATTTCAATGCACAATATTTTTTCAAAGCAGGTCATCTACTGTGATTCATTAAGAACTCGGTTAAAGCGTGTCACTTGGTAAATTCACACGTTCGGTTCCTTATTTCACTTAAAGAATTGCGTGCATGGAATCCAAACCCTTGTTATCGATTAAGAGTACCATTATGCGCTGAAATTTCTTTGTCGAAAATGTTTCTCGTGTGGAAAATCACTGAACAAACTGCCCCACCGTATTGAAAAAAGGTTTGAACGTTCAGTGTTGAACAATCCCTGCGGATATCGCTGCATTCTATACCATTCGTAGCAACGCATAGGTGACTAAACGCATATTGGCCTATACAATGTCCCGCAGAGGCCCATCAATGTACTAAGTCTGCGTTTTTTAAAAATAATTTATCTCTTAGACAAGTTTGGTATTGGTCCGCAAAACCCGCACAGACAGTTTCGAAAAACGTGTATGATCAACTTGAGGAGAAATTTTAACTGCAGGTTACTTCCAATCATCCACTGCACTACTCTCACGTTGTTGCGGCATATATCAGAAGATTTCTAAATTTCAAAAAGTTCTTTGTCGTATCTCCAAGATTCAGTGATCGCAAAAAAAAAATAAATGAGTGAGGTGCCAAAAACTTTTTTCCTTTTAGAACTTGCTTTTTCAATAAACAGTTGGTGCTGACTATCAAAAGGTGAGGAGTTCCTGTCTTCAAACAAAGAGCCATGACACAATTTCTCCTTCGAAAGGAAAACTATTTGAAAACAACACACTGAGTGTGTGTAGGAGGTATTAAGTGTTTCTGGAAAAAAACGGAAAATATCATCTGTTTCACCTATAATTTCATTGATTATCGAGTAACCCTGTGAGAGCACCAGCAAAATTTCCATTTATTCCCGTCGCGCAGAGGTGCTTAGCCAGAGCTGTCCTGCCTAGATCTCTCAACGAAGAAGAAAAACATCTCTCATCATTTGCGGACTTTTAATTTTTCCCATGTTTGGAAAGAGAGTATCCACAGAAAGTGCTCCAGACTCTGCTTTGGAAGGCTGGATATAACACACACGCACAGCTTTGTGGAGCTTTTCCAAGAGTAGAAATAGAGCTTATTTGTTAGAGGCGACCTCGTATCGCCTTTCATTTACTTCCCATTCACTCGATTGCATGCTTTTCACTAAATGAGCGTGCAGGATACAAACCACCAACATGCAAAAACACATCGTATGCATATGAATGCGTGTTCATAAAAAAATTCCAAGTTAATTCTGTACAAAAAGGGATATGAAACCCATGCATTCACTGAATTGAATCCACGAGCAGATTACATCACTCTCATGGTAGTTTTCGTTCAGTAGTGCTTAACCTCATCAGTAACTTGGAGACATGCCCGTTAGCTTAGTGACGAAACTGTCAGTGTGAGAGACATAAATTCAACATTAGATGTTTGTAGAGATGTTTACAACGTATTTCCTTCGTTCTTTAACGAGCATGTCGTCTTCGTTCTCTAGCGAGAACGGAAATCTTTCCGAATGTATTCAGTTCACCTCATCTGGTTCAGTTTGGCGATAATTCACGCGACATTGAACGCGCTTTGCCGATTAAAGAAAGGAACGCTAGAGAGCGTGCTGAGCTCAGAGTTTAATGGCATGTTAGAAAGAGCGGTTGTGATAAATGAACGACTGACAGACGTCATCACTCTTCAACGGCCAGTTTTCAAATCGCCCAAACAACAGCGACAACAAGGACGCACTTTTGCAGAACGAGTCGTCATGTCGTCCGTCGTATGCGTGCCGTTGTCGTTGTCGTATCACTAACAAAGAAATATAAAATATCACACGCCTCTTCTCTTACCTCTTCTTCTTTCGTCTTTCTTCGAAAACGCTGCTGAATGAAGTCTTTTCGCATATGCACGGGACGATGAGTCTGTAAGCAAAAAAATTTGAAAGTATAGAAAACAGAACTAAAAACAAGATAAAAATATATAACCAAGGCCCTCACGAAAAGAAAAGGGAAGAATTGAACAAGTGGGAAAACCAGATGAACTGAAGATTACAATAGAAACTGAGTGAAGACAAGTTAGATTATGGACTTTAATTACGACGCAACGTCATCTAATTCTTACAAACACCAATCTCTTCTTCCTCGTATTCTTTTCGTTATTTTCTGATGCTATTTAATACCAGGCTTATTTATAGGTTCTAAGCACAGAAATTCTGAATTATGGCCTAATGTAGGATGACATCATAACGCGGTTTCTTCTACTAAGGCAGATAATGGCATGACGTAACCTTGACAACGTAATTGTACTTTATCTAGTTAAATATTCACTTAAGAAAAGTCGTATATAACTAAAATATTCGCTGGAACTAAAAAATGTCGGTTTCTCATAGAAAGTTACGAAATGCCAACACATTCATACTAACAAAAAACCGGTTCATCTTGTTGTTGCTATTGTTGTTAAACTCATGAACAAAACTGAAAGCGAGTCAATATTTTTCAAACCGACCGTCAGCTAACCTCGACATTAATAACCAATACCTTTTTGGGATTATTAAGCCAACAGGAGTTCGATAAAAAGGTTTAATCGGTAAAAGTTTCGACGTCTTCGTCTTCCTCAGAGCCTACGATCCTAGACGACGATCAACAGCCGTTGGTCCTCTCGGTGTGATGTCTCCATATTCATATCGAGCCGAATCTTCATCAGTGCAGCATAGCTCGAATGATGCAACCACACCAGGCGATGCTCTTTCAGACAGGATGGTTGTTATTGATAAAGATTCTCCGCTGATAATAATTTGTTCCTCAACGGACGATCCATCCTACAGCGGTCGGTTTTATATTAATTGGTACATGGCGAATAGCGAATCAGTATTGTCCGTTGGAAAACAAATTATTACCAACGGACAATCACTATCAACAACGACCGTCCTGATTAAAAGAACATCGCCTGGTGTGGTTGCTTCATTCGAGCTTCGCTCCACTGACGAAGATTCGACTCGATATGGAGATGAATACATCACATCGAGAGGACAAACGATTGTGGATCGTCGACTCGGATCTTCGACCCTGAGGAAGACGAAAACATCGAAACGCTAGACGAATAAACCTTTTATCAACCTCGCGTTAGCTTAAAAACTCAAGAAAGTATTGCAAATTGAAGGGGTTATAATCACATGACAGAGCAATTCTCTTTCAATTTTCTCTTAGTGAATTCGAGATCAGCGTTCAAAAAACAGATGCACTTGTTCGACCGATTAGAATCAATAATTATAGTTTTCGGTTCACTGGACGAGTACAATACTGAACATATGTGGGGTCTCAATATACTTGTAGTTAGTTTAACCGGATTAACATTCAGGGTCTTGTAATCGAACCTTGTTAAACTTTGTCAGAAATTCATGCAAGAATAACAACATGTCATTTGGGTCCACTAACACAACTTGATTCACCTCAAATATGGTCATTCACTACTGGAAAGGATACCCCAGGACAGAGATATCTTACGTCTTAATAAAGGATGAATAGATAAAGGGTTTAGATTTTGATCAATCCCTTAAAAGTACGGCATGCATTCGACTCCATTAAACATCGATGAAGTGATTTAACGCATATTCGGCATATAAAAACACTAGCGAGTGCATACTAATGTGTCCAGTCAGTATTTTGCTTATCCTCCCAGACATGTTTAACACCAATTCTCTCATACCTGTGTATTATTGGGCCGTGTTTAGAACACTCCGCCAAACGCACCTCTACCCCTAATGAGGTGGTAAAAAAGAGATTCTATTCCTTAGTGCAACATCTTTTTATCATTTACTATCACCTTATCAGATTTCCTACTCGATTTAAGTCCAAAGACGAACCGAATGGTCACCGTACCAGAACCATAAGACTTTTTCTAATCACGTCTAATATCCATATTAACCGGACCGCTTCAAATGAAATGAAGCAGTAAATGAAGTAGCGCTAAGCAGAAAAGATGTTCCCTCCAGATTCTCCTCACTACTCTCACTGTGGTGACCCATATCCTGTTCTATTTCGGCACACAGTTTTCCTCGCCGCCACGATTTGACGCTGACCGGTCGTCTTATCCCTCCCCCGCGCCTCAATTATACCTCGACCATTGAAGGAAAAGAGGCACGGGTGTCTCCTCTACCTCCAGTAATCATCGTCATCATCATTACTGACCACACAAGGCCGCGTACCACGCCGTCCATTGTCATCGCCGTCATCATCATCATCATCGTTCAGGCCAGTAGTGTCTGTGACTTGAAGACGCATAGCGAAAAGGCCATAGAAGGCTCATTGGCTCTTTCTACTTTACATTCACCTACCGCAGTATTCTCGAAATAATCGCAAACAGTCGTCTGGAGAGGTCATTGCCACTGTGTATATTCATCCTAACAATTTGCACACAGACCAACCAGCCGCCATGAAACACAACACTACACTCATATCCAATTCCAAGTTAACAACTAAGCACAAATTTTCGTCTGAATAGTTACCATGCATAGTGTAAGATTGGAATTTTTGCTTATTTTTCAAAATCAATAAACCTGTTGAGTAACGTCTCAACATGTAACTGAAGGTAAGAGCACATAGCGTAGAATAAATACCTTTAAACAACCTATTTCTATGGATATCCTATTGAAGAAACACCACAATTAAGAAAGGGTTGCGGAAACATCACTTACCCGATGAAGCCTATAGTAGAGCCCGCACGCGTTGCAGACGAGTTTCCCGGCCATGTCCCTCCTCCAAGCAGTTGTCTTCGTCGTCATGCAATTACTACAACGTGATACGGATGCGTTCGACTCTTCATCCTCGAACTTCTAAAATATTAACACGTCAAACAATTACTTGAAATTTCGCCCGAAAATCGATAACTAACAATTCTTGAAACCCAACTGATCGTCACAGAACATTCTAGAAAAAATCATCAAACCTACCTACCAATGCTCTACGTTAAAATCACTGATGATCAAAGCAATAACAGCGACAATTGGTAGGTGCTGTCACTGTCGAATGCTATCATCGAATTCGATCTTTTGAAATCAAGAATATACACGCCCAATTAAGCTCAGGAACCAAAAATCAGTCCGCAATAGCGAAAAAACGAGCAGCCAAATTCTACAAGAGAAAACGACTCGATCACAGGCGAATAAATGTTCCGTCGTCTTATTAACTTTATTGAGTCCCTTAGCGACTAGTGAACGTCGTACTTTTTTTTCCTTTCTTACGAAAAACAAAAAGTCGCCCATCAAACTGTTGCGAGCAAAGGACACCGCCTTCACGAACAATGCACGTAAAATAGCGCTATCGGCAGAAAAAAAAACCTGGATGAGAGAGGTGCTGAGAATACTGATATGACTGTTAGGAAGAACATCTGCAATGAGAAGTTCGCCCCACATCGGTAGGAAAGCGAATGATGTTTGTCAAAATGATACAGATGACAGAAGAGACGACTCATCATCCAAAAGCCATTTGGAAAAATTCGTTTAAAAAGTTGTAAAAAAAACGTTTAAAAAACAAGCATCATTCTCAAATGAATTTTAGCATTCTAGGAAAAGTATAAAACTTAGGGCTTCATGTAAAGAACTCTCCTGAGGAATAACGGCATGTTTTAAGAACGTGCCCACATCAAAACTATGTCAAATATTTGACAAAGTTTTCATTGAAACTCTTACTTATTGCTTCACCAGGAAAATCGTGTAGAGGATTCCATAGATCTCGGAGAGTTTATAATAATAGGAAATTTTCAGATGTCAACCACTTGCTCACCTCTTTGAATTGCTGTTGCAGTTGTTCCATAAGCACCTGTGGATCAGGTTGTTCGGCTTTCACCACCGGTCCAGAAGCGGCCATTGTGGACAAAGATGGTGCCGGTGTCTGTGACGCAGACGTTGGAGCCGGATGTGCACCGGCTCCAGCAAGTGACTGCTGCATGATGAACTGCAGAAGTTGTTGCTGCTGTGCCAAGGGATCCACTAAATCGAAGTGTACTGAAGAGATTGAGGAGAGGACATAATATGGAAGACGTCATCAAGGCTACCTAAGAAAGGGCCTTGAAAAACGTATGAAAAAATGCCACCTACTCATTTGCCCGCCCAAGAATCCAATATTATCTACAAAACTAGGTGTGGTCGTAGAAACAGATGCTGATGAAGTTGCCGACACGGCCGACATCTCTGACACCTAAACAAGGCACTTTCACACAACCACATCAGTCAAATACATATGGACGAGTACATATACCTGTTGTTTTTTCCTTCTACAAAAAACCTTAGGTAAGTTTTCAAAAGTATAGCGACCCCTTGTATGAAGAGACAGTAATGCCGAAATATTTAAGGACCAATTCAAAACGGAAACTACTATCAGATGTCTGACCACTGCTATAGCGCTGCTCTGCATTGCATCGTCCGCCACCCGATGCACGGTGTCCTTGTTCGGTTTTCGCTTACGACTGCCTTGTGTGGTGTTCGGCGATGCCCTGCTATCAGCTGGCGACGGAACATCCTGAATTATTGTATTTATTGAAGGTGATTATCTAAATCAAGTATCAAGTAGGTAAGTAAGATTATCTAAATCGAAGAGTGGTGATCAATTAGAAACCCATAACTATGTAATCTGAGCAAACAAACCGGCTTGACACTTGGGTAGTATTAAGAATTACATAAGGTATTAATGTTTTCATACAACATAGAAAGAAAATCAGGTCTGTTCTCCCTCTCTCTCTTCCTTCCTTCAAATTTGTTATGAATTGAGGCATATGTGGAAGGTCACACTATATTATCTTGAATATCACACGAGTTTGGTACTATATCAGCACCGGTATATTCCAGTACAAAACGAGAACTGGGATCAAAAGAGGATTGTTTTCCTGGTGGCCATGTTGCAGTGAATGTGCTGTATTACGAAATGCGATTCATTGAACGCAATCCAGTTCACCGTGTGAGTTAACAAACCCAGTCCTCAACTATTTAAAACAAGGCTATCTAGTCTCAACCAAGCTAGGTAATTTGCGTTTCATAAGGCCTTGACTATAAAAAAAACTGATGAAAGATCAAAAACCTTATCATCACTTCCACTCTCGCTCATTTCCTGATCGTGAGCGATAAGTCGATCCTTTTCCTTCTCGTTCATTAGACTCTCCAACCGCATGTAGATTAAGTCGAATTTATCCATCATTTGCTGCATATTCTGCAATTGTATGGACCGTGGACCCGTGCCAAAGAGTACGGACATCATCCGTATCCCTAAATCCACACCTGCTTAATGTCGGCATGGAGTTTTATGCAACCCGAACATGGTGGTGGCGGTGAAGGAGCGACTCCGTTCGGTAGAGACGTGGGAGACGGCATCGATGCACACTGTTGCGGTGGTGGCGCGACCAGTGTCATCTACTGTTATTAGTGGAATTTCTACTCAACACGATAAATACATAGTATTATTTTAAAACGAGATACCAAAAACACTGAGAAAGACGCAGTCGCAATAAAGTCGACGACTGATATTTCTAACGACATAACAAAGAATATGTTTGAATGAATGACGAAAACTTAGGACCACAGCAATTGTAAGCCTATAAGAAAACACCCTGCAAGCTAACCTCTGAAAGTCGTGCGCGTTCTTAACAAATGAGAAGAAGGAATGAAACTTTTCTTTAATGTAGGCAAAGACTAAGAAAGAGTAAAAATAGAATGAGCGCGGGAGGAATAATGAAAGGAACTTGAAAATAGAATATGTTAAAATGATGTTCGATTAAAAGGAACACCTCTTCGCCCTCCTGAGGTATTCTGCAATCTCTTAATCTTAATCTTACTTGGATACTTGGACGACCTCTCTTCGCTAATTGTGCAGGCTCCAGCACAATCTCCATTTCATTTTTTCCACTTCTTGGAGACTTCCCGGTTGAGAAATTGTAGTTCCCTGGTATCCCAAGATCGGCTGGCCAAAATCTGCCCCGGGTCTAATCTTAATCTGTAGTTCTAATCTATCTATTTACCTTAAAAACACATGACGACTACAATAATAATGGAAGAATGTGATTAATAACAGATTTCTCTACCTTGAACTGCCTAGTAAAAAAAGGATAAGAAAAAGTAAAACCTTTCCAAAACGAATCCAAAGGTTTCCTGCTTGGTTGTGGTTGCCGGGTTTTTGCGAGTGCGAAAATGTGATTTACAGCGGGGATTCATCATCCAGAACTGTGGTCAGAGCTGAGAAAGAGTTCGATATTCTCATTCGACAAGTCAGTCATGATCAAACCAATACAAGATATCAATGATAATCATAATCATGAGCTGGTGGTAAATGACAAAGCCTTGGCACGATTTCCGGAACGCCGGAGAAAGAAGGTCGTACCGGACAAGAAAACTACCAGTGAAATGGAAATCGAGCTGGGCTCAGTGCGTGGTCCACTCGTGGTGCAGTCACTCGTGGTCCACGAAGACGGGCCTTGTAAACTAATTAAAAATAAACCACTATCAAACATTGATAAATAAAAAAATTTCTTTAAAAAGTCGGCAGCAGCTTAATTAAACCAATTATTGAGGTTAAGAGTGCTCGGGAAAAATACTATCGAATCCCTTTCCAATCGGGGATTCTGAAGTGCACATCATAGAGAAAATAGATCAATGCTTACTACAACTACAATGCAACTTCTCACATGCCCCGCCAGGCCATATTGTTATCACTTGAACAGTGGTGATGGATGTGCTGTTAAAAAGAGAAAAAAGAAGAAAGGTTTAGCTGTCGCTGGCGACAGGCGGCTACGAGTTGGCTGGTTGTGGTAAAAGGAGGCGCATGGTGGCGCTTGCGCTGGCGCTGTCTCCTATCACTATCATGAATCTGTGTGCCCCCTTTAGATGAAATCGCACACGAACAGCTGATACGCATCTTATCAACACGAAATCGCTACGATCGTACACGATGATGAAAACACACTCCAACCAACCGACCGACCACGTCTACATGGTTACCAGGTACCAGCACCCCAGCTGTGTCACTCAAACACCCAAACGCCATCAGTCAGTGGTCATGGTGACGACTCTCGTCAGAACAAAATCCTCGCATGCTGGAGACGATCCGATTAATAAGATACTAGAGCGAATTAGTCCACAAAAAATGGATTTTTAGGTAGTAAAGTGTTTAATTCCGTACTTCATTCAAACCGAGACGTCGTTAGTCAGTGGTGGTGATGCCGATTCTCGCCAGAACGAAATCCACGCATGCTACAGACGATCGAATCAGTAGGAAACCAGAGTGAATTTGTCCAAAAAAAGTAGACTTTTTTGTAGTAAAGTGTTTCAATCGGCACTGAAGCAACAGCTAGAGAGATACGAGGCTGTTAAATTTAAGGTGTACGACATCCAAAAAAACGTAACAAAGAATTAGGCTTAGCATAATTTAGCACTAGATGATTCTATTCAGACAAAGCACAGCGCCAGCGATCACGAAGGGAGAAATCAGTTCGATACATATAGACTGTGATTTACATGAATATAATAAACGGAAAGAATTACTAGCTAATAATTTCCAACGTAGTTCAAATCGGTTTAAAAAGCTGGAAAAACCTGTCAAGACTGATGAATCGATCGAGGCGGAAGATGCTATATGGCCCTTATAGTTAATGGCAGACGATCAATACTTCAAATTCGACATGCAAATTACTTTAGATCACTTTGAAATATCCTCTAAAACAACACAATGGTAGTACCTTAACAAACTGCTGGTAAATGATCACACAGATATATGCGGGATCATGTCAGTTTTCTAAAGATGAGAAGAAGAAAATAGCCCTACAAAACATAAAACATAGACTGGTAATCCCAATCGGTAAGGAAAACTGATGACTGATTGATAGAAAGATCGATAAATAATCACACGTTAATGGTCCAAGATAATAGAGTGTCGCCCAGAGGCAAGACCGTTAGCGCATCTCTCAGTATGGGGTTATGGGATAATTGACGCAAATGGAGGTCGCGATTTGACTCAGAGAGTTTGAGATTGTAGAACTTCATCATCAGCGAATTCTAGGGCTCTAAATGAAGCACACAAAGTAAAGAAAAGGGAAAGGGTTAAGCCATGAAATCGTTATTTATGAAATCGTCTTGCAGCTATTCCAGCCGTCTCGTCCCACCGACCGGCAACAATTCACCAACACGACAATGGTTGCTAAGCGGCAAGCGGTGGCTTATGTTCGACAATTACTGATGGACCAACATGCACCTTTACACACTAGTTAGCGATAAATTACCGCCGAAAAGACGACGCTAATCCATTAGTGGAAGCAGGTGCAGGCACTGTGGTGGTCCATATACAGAGAAAAAGAAGAGTGGCCGTCACGGTGGTTCGTTTGTTCGTGCGTCGATACCTCAACGTCGATTACGAGTTGATAGCGGCAGTTAAACGCACCGATAACTCATATTGCGCATACTAGTGGCGAGGTAGTAGCGCAAAAAGTTATTGATTCCACCTCTTTTCCTATTTCACAACTCCCGCCAGTTTACTCTAATTCGGGAGTACGTGATTTGCAGAGTTCATTTCTCTCATTGCGACGTGTACTTGCGTCGAGTCTTCACCTCGAGCATAATTGTGTCGTCAATGCAAGGCGTCTTCGTCCTGCCGCCAGGTTACTGCTCCGTCATAATATGAATTACTGAGAATCGTTGCCGGAGAATACGTTGGTTGGTTGGTTAGATGAAATGGTCAGTAACTGGGAGGAATGGATGTGGACTGACAATTAACCGAACAGAGCGCCATATGGAAGCGGACAAAGAGGGCCACAGCCAGCAGCCAGGGCTTATCGATTGGCCGGCCTACGCTGATAAGGGGATAAATGCCGAAGCGCCGCCCCCGTTCCCGTGCCTCATGCACCGGCGCACTCCGACAAACCTCATTTACATACCTAAATGGCCTTCTTCCCTAGTAAACGACTGATTATCGATCTTACGCATCTCTCTTCAACCTTCGGTAGTGGAAAGAAAGAATGAAGAAACTGTCCGTGTGAGTGAGGGAAACAGAACGCGTTCCCTATGATGGTGGGGTGCGTCATCGCTTTGTTCGTCACGAAACGGGCCCTCTTCTAACGGTTCCCCGTATTTCGAACCTCTATCCTCAGCGAGAGATTTTCGATGTCGGTTTTGTAAACAAAAAGGACAGGAAGGAAACACTGTATAAGAAGTTGAGAAGAATTCATTCTTGGAACAGTACCTGCATTTTCTAAGAAACAGCTGCCATTCAGTCATCTCATTCGTCGTGTATGTTGTCAGACTCCAAAATATTCAAAGATCCTTTATGAAGTCACATCTAAGCATGACACAATTCAGTGAAATTATCTAGCCTTCCTACGTGGCGTATCCAGACATATTGACAGATATTCTTAATAACCCTTTAATTAATATGTATTATCCGATTTCACTGATGGGAATCACCTTGCTGGTCGTTCCGTTTCCAGCAACGCATGGAAGATGAGGACGACAAATGAAACAAGAAAGATGACAATTTTCGATAAGCCGGAGATAGAAGAATAGCGCCACTATTGACCTCAATGGTCAAGATCGTTAAAAACATCTCGCCAATTTCGCACACAAATCAGCAGCCGCCCCGGGACAAGGATACCTACATTGAAGGCTGCGATTGTCGGAAACGGAAACTCGTGGTCATCGACATTTCTACGGCGTTAGTTCGTATCATACATTTTACAAGAACAAAAAAACGATCATGTGTCCCACAACGATACCCATGTCGTTAAAAATTTATACTATCGTTCGTTAAAGACGAAACCTGACCCGAGCCGAGTGACATCGCACAAATATGGTAGAAACAGCGGGAAAGCGTGGGAAAGTGATGCTAATGTAGTGCGGTAGCGTCGTAATGCTCGATCAATAAGGTCAAGTATCAAGACACCTAAGTACATAGAGCTTGTTACAGTGTAAAAGAAAAATATAGCCTTGAATGAACCTTCTTCTTGACAGCAAAGTAAAGATATGACCTCTGAACGCATAGCTAAGCACTCAACTCGATTCATTGCTGATTTTAAAGAAGACCCAATGCTTCACACACCGGCCAGGATATCATGCCATCCTGGGACCGGATCGTACGTGGTAGCGTCGCTCAGTGAGCAGGTGCGAATCGCTCGCACCTCGTCTTCTTCGTGACCCGTGCAAACCTCGCACGCGCACGCCGAAAAGCACTCGAATCAGTGGTGTGTCGACACACCACCACCGCCACCACCACATACTACAATGACATCGTGTAAACATTTTATCAGGGTCGTCCAACGACGAATACACACTTCCGCGATGGCGACACGGACAACGACACTGAGAGCATGTCGGCAAACAAATGCGCTCCACCGCCAAACGGCGACTACCGTACGCAAATAGGTGCTCTGCGCGATTCGTACGCTCTCTCGGCCGTCGTCTTTCAAGGTATCAGCGGCATCGCACCAACCACCACCGACTTATCAACACAACCAGGTGTCGCGAACACTTATCTCTCCTGCACCGCGTACACTTGAGACCATTTCAGACGGCTACGGTAGCTGAGTGTACTGTATATGAATGCAGACGGCTCGTACTCCTATGCAGGACTGAAGACTCTTGAAGTACTTCACAAACCGACTTTCCTCTACCCTCTACCTTCTGTATGACTAATCAGCATGTGTTCTGTCATTGATGAGCTGAAACGAGTATGACAAAGACGTTTGGTCGACTAATGTTTTGACGTCTTCGCCTTCCTCGCAACCGAGATGACCGGAGTCGACGGACCACAGCGGTTCATTTTCTCGATTTGGTATATTCGTCGTCGTATCGAGTCACATTTTCTACACTGGACCACCGCTCGAATGAGGCAATCCCACCCGCCCGGCGATGCTCCTTTATACAGGAAGGTTTTCCTTTATACCCTCGAAATATTTGTGAAGAAAATGAGAATGAGAAAACATGGAAGACGATAGAGAGGGAGGATTACAACGTAGTACGAAAGTGACTATTCTTCGTTCAAGAACTGGCTAGTAGTATGGAATAAAGACGACAAGAAAAAATAGCGACTGACATTTGATGTTAAGCGTCGACAGTGAGTGTGATAATGAGGTCGTATATAACGATGGTCATCGATCGATAATCATGTTTGCTGAGTCTACAGTAGTACAACTAGTTAGGGTTCATTCGATATCGACAATTCTCCCTCTCTATATGAACCAAGCCCCAGACGTCCCGCAGTGATAAGTGTCATCCTCCATCTTCGCATCTGCGTCTTCACATTGTATGCTTAACACCAGTTATCTGAAACGGACCGTGAACAAACGATCCCAGCAGAAAACACTGGAATAATAGCCGTAACCACTGTAGAGATCGATCTTACATAGCTTTTATTGTGCATAACAAATTTTCTACACTAAGCGAATTCCCACCAAGTTTGTATTCGGGTTTAAAGGACCCTAAAATACCATCTAGTTCAGGATCTTATAGAAGTGTATGCAATTTCTGCAGCGATCTTCAAGCGCATCTGCAGAAATAGCGAAATTAAAAAGTTAATCGGATAACTATAAAAGTGGAAGTTCTTCACATATTGAAGTATTAAAGAATAATTACTGATGTGAGTGCCACACGATGAACACATGGAAATGCGTGGGCAGTCCATGTTCAACCAGGAATTCAACCCATTGACATGAATAATTTACTATTTTCTTGATGAGTAGAAAAAAGGTTAGAGCAATATGTACTTCACGATAGCTAATGTTTCAGAGAAGTTCGTCTCTTCGAAAACTTTAAAAGGTCAAGTTGATGTCAACAGGGTTAAGAGAAAGTCGAACCTGGCTGCGAACTACTTTACTAATACGGATTTCTGGAGATCACAGTTGGAGTCGAGTAGAGTGACGAATATGTCGATGACAATACAAAGGAAGAGGATTACGATACAGCCATTGATTATGGACTCTATCGATATCGATGACAACTGGTAGAGGGAAAACGAGTTCGCTCCCACTGACAGAAATCACCACTACGTTTATGGCAGTGTACAGCCACATATTCTACATCGCTTTATAAATTTATCCTTGTAGTCGGAAGTGAACAATGTCTTCGGTAGTTTTTGTCCCACAATTCTCATCTCATTAAACCCCATAGAGACGCCTATCTAAATTAAACACATTCAAGTTTTAACGAAAAGCCCACATGAATTCAACAGAAGTCACATCTGTACCGCTCCAATGAAATTCTAACTTACTATTTTTGTTTACCATAAATATTTTTGTCAACCTTGTGCTGGTTTGATAATCCAAGCACGTACTAACTTACTACTTGAAAACAAACAATGAGAAAGACCGTATGCCCAAAAGATAAACGAACTCTTTGAAGAACTACATTGCACATAGTTTGTCCCATACTTCTCAGACATCTGTCGGTAATCTTTGTGTAGACGAAGTGAAAAAAAAACATAAACCGCAAATTACTGATAAAAAAGATAATACATTCTTCAGTCTTAGAAAAAATAGCACAAGTGGAAATTTATCATTACAAGTATAATCAAAATCTTTGGAAGAAACGCAGCACCTGACAAATTTCTCTCAACTGGAAGTTCTCTACCCAGAAAAGTAAGGTCTGCTTTCAACCTTTACAGTTAACCGATCCACATATCTGATTTACCAAACACAAACTTTTAGCCTTGAAAATGTCTACGCCTGACCCACACATGCCTGAGAGTTCAAGCGATTACAATGAGCTCTATATGGGCGAAAAAAAGCTGTAAATTGAAATATCCTCCTTATCCATTCATTGCTAAGAAGAAAAAACCTATAGAATAACAAAAGCATCCGTTCAAATCGCTAAGGCCGTCAGATACGCATATTCAAATCTCGATAAGGAGATTTATAAATGAGTGGCGCCAGATGGTATAAATGGTTCATGCGGAAACAATTTATCAGTGCTCCCACTCAGCGTTCGGGGCTGATGACCTTGTAGAACAGTGAGGTCTGCCGGTGCTCATGGAATTTACACCATCTGATCCTAGAAACACTAGCTAGTATATGCTGCTCTCTAACTTATCCACAAGCCTGAAATAAACATAACTGCCCAAACATTGCACTTTATACGCGAATTTTAACAAAAATATACTTTTCAAATGAACTCCACCTACGAAAAACGCTGTTAATTCGAAGAAAATTCGTGACTCCAACAAATAATCAGTAGTGGAAATCAATATATCTTGATCGGTTCATTAAGCTTCCGAACATCTGGGTTAACGGATGGTGAATAGTGTCGTCTAAAATTTTGAAGTACCGTCAAACTTTGAAATGAAAACTAACAGGACAGCAAAAGAATGGACAACAGTCCACGCATGCGATTCTTGCACTGTCGCTCATACGATCGCTTTCTTATAAGAGGACAGATTACTGTTCGTTTGAGTCTAAGCTTTCCCATAAGAGGATAGATTATTGTTCGTTTGACTTTAGGCCCCTTTAGGTTCTGTTCTGGCGTTTCGTGTCTCCTCCGATAGTTGTCCTTAGGCGTCCTAGTACTGGTACCGAATAGGGGTGGTGTAAGGGAGGTAAGAGCATGAGGAACAACAGCGTCATTATCACAGTGCGTATCGATCTGCACGAAACGAGACGCATCACAAAATGCATTAAGCATTCATTGGATATAAGAGATTGGCGCTAAGTAAGTCAATGCTTAGGGTAAGTTGCAGAGCTTAAATGTGCCGCTGGACACGGGAGGCCTAATTGATAGGAGAACATAAAAAGGGATAGAAATCTAAATCTTTAGAGCTTTTGAGAAAGAAAATTTGTTCCATTTTAAACCCTTAAATAAAGAAAGATTTATATGATTTGCGGTTTTCATCGAGCAATATGCAATGGGACCATTCTTTACCCGAAATTCACAAAGTACAAAAGATTTTGGTCCGCTGGATTTAACTCAAATCAGTCGAGGAAAAAAAACACGTTTCCAGCAAGACTTCTGAAAAAACGATGGTTCTGATAGCTATCAATGGAAAACATAGTGTACTGCTTAGAATTCCTCGCGCTATTCGAGGTGCTTCGTCCAAGAATGTCGATGCTATCAGATTGTTTAGAATAGTATGAAGCCCATTCTAATCCCAAAATGACTTTGCAATGATAACAATGGAGCAAAGACGAATATAAACTACTAATTCTTACGTAAACAGAGTTAGCATGCGGTTATATCGGTGATTCACTGGAATGAGTTCACTTTCTTAACTCCTGAGCACCTAAAATCCAATGTCAGAATGAAGACCTCACTGCAAGGACCATTTGACCACATAGGAAAAATCTACATCGTGTCTCATTCCCCAATAAAGATCAATGCAATGAAAATAGCTCAATCATTTGTTAACAGCAGAAAATAGAACAAGAACAAGAGAAAAGAATGCCGGCCACTTCTGTCATGTCAAAGCATCTTCCATAGGAAAGGCGAATACGGTAAGGTAAATGTTTGAAACAGAAACAGTGTCACTGGATAGGTAATGAAGGGTAATAAGAAAGAGTGAGAATGAAGAAAGAAAAGAAGGTGAAGAAATTATGATGACTGGTAGAAACTATAAAATCTGGCAGTTGTTAGAACATCGCACACGTGTGCAGTCAATCACCGTGAGTCGGTCGCGAATTCGAATTACTGGTCCGACCATACACATCTGTGATCGAATTCACGTAGAAAGCAGACTAACGACGAACCACTACCCATTCTAAACACATATGACAAGGTCGTCGTGATTACAATGCTAAAGACGACTATTATTGTTGGAAAGGGTTTAAGAAACTATAGTCGACAGTGATTTTTGGAGAAAGAACGGTTACGAAGAGAGCGGATAAATAGCTAGGACAACCCTATAATGCGTCACAGAATCAGAGTAGATTACAGGTTACGCCGCTTAGTAAAGTCAACTGCAATGCTGAATGTGGTTGTCATGGAAGTGGTAACCACCGAAATCGCCACTACGATCGCTGAAAGACTGGCTCAAATAATGGCCGTATTGCTTGGCATAGTTGAGAAAGCACTTCTCAGTCTTCAAAGAAAAAGAAGAAAAACCACCTCAACCACCGCATGTTTTGTGCTGAATGAGTGGCGGTCGCTTGGATACATACTTAGCCATATATTATGGATTACGCGCGGCTATTGTCAATCAGTCTGGATGCTTTCCACATAGGACATTTGCCCGCGACACTTCCAGATTTCAAAAAATCTGATTAGCTTTAATGAGAATACACAACAATAGCAAACAACAATGTCTTGATAATTTGGCACCAAGTAATGAAAGCTCGTGGCGTTGATCAATCCCTGAGAGGTGCATTAAGCATCGATTGGAGGTGATTGAATGCATATCTGGCCTTTACAATAACTTGCGATGGCCTACCGGTGTATCAAGCCAGTGCTACTATCCTCCCAGACAAGTGTGGTACCAATTTGCCGACACCGGAGGCATGGAAGGCTTCATGGGCCAGAGGCGCGGGGATCGATCCCATGTGTGTAATGCAGGACGCTCCTGACCACTGCACCACAC